GCTCTTATTCTTCTCGAGGACTTCTTCTTTAGTGAGACCAAGCTTTGTTTTTTATTTTTTTTTTTTTTTTTAATGATTTTTTTTTTTTGAAGTTGATTGCTTCAGGGATGTGTGAGATTTTCAATTATTAATATTGAAATGAACATATATATGTTACACTTACATTCTCTGCATTATACACATAACATCTCAGGCAAGCCAAACACATCATTGATTGGCCGTCTTTGGCAATATGGAATGCCTTCCAAATGCCACTACTAACATTGCCTGTCTGTGGTTGATAATCATTTGGATCCCCAAGCTGTCCATTGGAGGCCGTCTTCTTCTTCTTTTGTTTGGTTATCATATCTATCTATCTATAAAACAACTGAATGAATGAATGAGTCTTGTGTTGTTCACCCACACATGTCTCACCCTCGGTTATTCGATCCGGTTTTGATAAAAAAAAAAGGTGGTCGGTTCGAATAATTGTACTTCCTTCGGATTGGTAAAAGGGTCCGGTTCGGTTTATTCGGCCTCGGTTAGTCGGATATCCGAACTCGGTCTCAAACACTGRTTGCCAGTGAATAGCCAGTGAATTGCCAGTGAATTGCCAGTGAGTTGCCAGTGAATATCCAATGAATATCCAGTGAATAGCCAGTGAATTGCCAGTGAATTGCCAGTGAATWGCCAGTGAATAGCCAGTGTGTTGCCAGTGAATAGCCAGTGAATAGCCAGTGAGTTGCCATTCAATATCCAGTGAATTGCCAGTGAATAGCCAGTGAATAGCCAGTGAATAGCCAGTGAATAGCCATTGAATATCTAGTGTGTTGCCAGTGAATAGCCAGTGAATAGCCAGTGAATAGCCAGTGAATTGCCATTGAGTTGCCAATGAGTTGCCWTTGAGTTGCCAGTGAATATCCAGTGAATTGCCATTGAGTTGCTATTGAATATCCATTGAATATCCAGTGAATAGCCAGTGAGTTGCCAGTGAATAGCCATTGAATTTCCAGTGAATATCCAGTGAATAGCCAGTGAGTTGCCATTGGGTTGCCAGTGAATAGCCAGTGAATAKCCAGTGARTAGCCAGTGAATAGCCAGTGAATATCCAGTGAATAGCCAGTGAATAGCCAGTAAATTGCCAGTGAATAGCCAGTGAGCAGCCAGTGAATAGCCAGTGAATATCCAGTGAATATCCATTGAATATCCAGTGAATAGCCTGTGAATATCCAGTGAGTTGCCATTGAATAGCCAGTAAATATCCAGTGAATAGCCAGTGTGTTGCCAGTGTGTTGCCAGTGAGTTGCCAGTGTGTTGCCAGTGAATAGCCAGTGAATAGCCAGTGAATGGTCAGTGAACAGCCAGTGAATTGCCAGTGAATTGCCAGTGAATAGCCAGTGAGTTGCCAGGGTTATTTCATACCTTCAAAAAAAAATTGTTTAAGCATGTCAACATATTGATTCAGGATACAAGAACTAATGTTAAACGTTTGTGAGGTAGACTATTGAAAAATAATCTTTGGGACTATCCAATTCAATAGCGAAATCTATTTACACCAAAAAATATATCTCAGTAATATTCTCAATTTAATACGAGTTATTTTATTAAAATTGATATTTGATCAAAAATGTATTGGCCAATTCTTATGAGATTGACGATACTGATAATATATTCTGGGATTATTCATCAAATCTAATATTTAAAAATTATATTTTCAATTTTATAGAGTTATCTTTCTTCTATTTAATGTTTGTATGGGACGGAAGTTCGAACACATATACTTTTTCAAACAGTTATAAATCATAGATACAAAGATGCCACCAACAATTCGACTATCTGACATACCTACCATGATCATTCAACCTATTCTATAATACTTTACACTTGTATAAAGAACATATTGTAAACAAATAAATATTAATAAACAATAATTARTTTTAATGAAAATTCCACAGTTGTTTGAATCACTTTGACAATGACTGAATAGACAAGTCATTAACAACTATGATACATATAACATTAGTACAAATACATACAGACAGTGGATCATATGATTAAATAATAACATTGAAGCTTATACAACAACATCATCCACTTTATGTCATTGACATCCAGATTTACAACAACAACAGATGAAGGTTGATCTATCAACTCCTGACAACGTCATTCAACACCTCAACATAATATATCTTGTTACTCCTCTCATCAACGCGAATCGATCAAGATATCAATCATCGTCATTGAACAACATCACACCAATCATGAATGCATTTCGAATGAGTCTCGACACAACGATGATGCACCAACAATGTTCAACACATACGTTTGATACACCAACAGATTCAGTACATCTACAGGAATCGATCTATATATAATATGTTATTGTTGAACCTATTCTTACAAAGTACAGTCATTTCCCATTACACGCCAAGAGTCGCACTCCAACTGCCACCAACATCTCGATAACACCTACAATTGACATACCAACAGACTAAACACATCAAGGTGAATCGATATATATTGTGTATCACTGCTGAAGCTATTCTTTAGCAACACATTCAACAACAGCCAGCATACACTCACATTGGTGCATCAACTACGATCGTCGCACTCCACTGATCAYCAACATCGTCCAACAAACACCTATGACACATCATCAGACTCGACCCATCAAGAAGAAGCGATACATACTATATTCATTGTCGTTGGAGTAATCTTCATCAACTTTGGTCATCAACATCCAACTACACAGGTAACAACCAAAACCGTGGAAGCAGATCGTCGCACTTCTACTTCTAACAATAACTAATACCAATCAAGATTATAGTATAGTAATATTCAACACATCAAGATGAACCGATCATTATATTATACATCACTGATGAAGTGATTCATAGGAATTACAGTCTTGGCAGCCATTCCTGGACGACCATTTACAGCTCACTTGGATTGTCGCACACCAACCAAGGACCAACATCATCCAACAACTCCTATGATGCTCCAACAGACTCGACTCATCAAGATGAAGCGATATATAGCACATTCATTGCCGTTCATCTTAATCTTTTTCAATGTGGATCATCGATCATCCACATCAACTGCTATTGTGTAACACCTTGATCGATCGTCACAACACCTACTGCTGACCAACATCGTCCAACATTCACCTATTATACACCAACATACTCAACTCGCCAAGATGAAGCGATGCATCCTACATTCATTGCTGCTGGTGACCCGACTGAAGATGCGTGACAAGATCCTATATATTGCTGTTTTTGATGGATATATATAAGAGGAGATGATGAAAGTTAAAGGTGATCAATAGCTGTCCAGGCATCAGGACAGGCACCAGGATGACCACGATGATGGTCATACCAGATTGTTACAATGTTGATCAATCAACTGTTGTGTCGACAAAGGCCAACATCAATGAGTGCATTGACGACCGTCGCAACACTACAACAGACAATGGGCATCATCAATCACTCCATCATCAACAGTGACATAGTTTCCTCGACATACTGGATTGTAGCAACAGTAACAACACCCACCAATACCATCAGACGTTGTGGCGATGGATAACACGCTGTACATATGGTCGTGACGTAGCAGTTGGGGCAGTCGTGGCAGTCGTGGCAGTCGTGGCCATCATGATAAGGGAGACCCTGGCGACTCTACAAGGTAGCGACCATGAACACGACGATCACGACCTGACAATGACCATGACCATGACCTGACGATTTCAACTACCACTGGTTTGCGTCTTCAAGGTCGGATGACCAATATGGAAATCAATAAATTCCACACTGGAACCAAGCATGATTGATTAAATATAATTGATTGATTGATTGACCGTTAATAAGTCATATAGACTCATCTTTCAATCAATCAAATAATAACAACAATATTATTATTATTTGTTTGTCAGGGTGGTGATGAGGGAGAGTGCTGGACCGTTGTCAAATGTCCTACATTGCAAGACGGTGATCATATATCTTGACGAGAGATCGAATTTTGATCTGGTTGTTGTTCCAGACCACTGCTCATTCATGATGTCCACTCGTTGATTGGTCCACGAGCTGTTTCCCTTCAAGTTTATCCTCCAAAGAACGACTTCGACACCGAAATAGACCGCACGATTACTTTACCAAGTTCGTGCAGATAAATATATTATTATTTGTAACAAACATGTGACAACTACAACGGTTCAATGCTAAATATGTGGCATCTGCCCAACCATTTGTATCCTCGAAGTACGAATGATAGGTAGATTGAAAAGTAGGTTGACACTTCCAAAAAAAAGTTCGATTTGGTGTCTCTCCTGCACACTTTGACCCCTATTGCTCATATCTGACGACAAATAACAACTAGTTGTTATTACAACATTTATATATATCTATCAGATGGACCAAATTGGAGATCAAGTACCACCATTACCTCCATCATCTTCCCATACAATACCATTACAGGTGTCAAGAGATGATAAGTACGATTTGATCATCTATTATAACAGCATCAACAACAACGATACTAACAATAATAGTAACATTTATGATCACCAGGTGTTCACTTCATGTAGAATTAGAAAGATCACACTTTACCAGCGGTGGTACAGTCAATGGCACAATTCACTTGACTCTCTATCAACGCCAGTTCCTTCACTCAGTCCAAGTTCATCTTGGTGGCTTTGAGAAGATATACCTTCAGTCGGGAAAAGTTGATCACGGCAGTAATGCCGAGCACATCAATGTGAGCACGGACGAACATCATCATATCAGTCCATTCTTCTCTGAATCACGTGTAATCTTCCCACCACCACCACCACTATCTGCAGCGGACATCACATCAGCAGCTACAACTTCCGCCTCATCATCTTCACCCTCAAGCTCACAATCACCAATTATCACATACAGCCCGCCGTCCCTTCACTCGAGAAACATTAACAAGGACAGCAACCATGGCAACAGTAGCAACAACCACAAAATATTGTCCCATATCAACTTTACTGGCGACGGTGCAGAGCTCGACCTTGGAACCTACACACATACATTCTCTCTTCAACTACCAACATTCTTGGCGCCCTCTGTCAACTACATTGACTTTCTCTCTATCTTTTATGTGGCACGTTGTGTCGTCAACTACAGTAAGGGCAAAGAGTGGCAGCCCATATCCATACATCGCAGTACAGAGTTCTTTGTTCAGGGTGTAGGAGCGACATACCTACAGCACCTGGCAGACAACCGATCATTTGTCAATGCTCGAGTCTCGCGCTTCCTCTGGTCGTCCAAAGCTCAGCCGGTAGAGATGGCTGTATGTCTACGTGACGCCGACAACTTCATTGGAGATCGCGTCTTTTTCTTTGTACAACTACGCAACCCATCCAACATCAGCATAACCGAGCTCCAACTGGATTTCTTCCAACAGATCCACATCATCCTCCCCGGTGAATCGACGAAGCAGCAACTGGCCTGCACCAAGATGATGTCATCGTCGTTTGATATCAGTAGTCGCTCGGCAACCGCTCACAACAATGACATTACATCGGCTCAATTCCAGATCAAGCTGCCGCAGATGGTAGAGGACGACGTTGTGTTCCCCACTACTTTGGGTTCGCTCTGCAAAATCAAACACTTCTTCCGTGTATCACTGCCACAGGTCAAAGTGGAGGTTCGTCTCAAGTTCCAGCTTTGGTCAAGATCAACAGTTTGTGATGATGATACCCAACTAAACAATCTCAGCTATCTAAGTCTCAGCAACAATAATATCAATAATATCAACAATAACAATAACAACAACAACAACAACAACAACAACAACAACAACAACAACAACAACAACAACAACAACAACAACCTCAACAACAAAGTACCAGTTGCATGGCAAGTGGATTGGATGCCAACTTGGGTCAGAGACGAAGATAACACCCAAAAGTGCACGTTGTGCTCTGAATCATTCAATTTCATTGTGCGCAAGCATCATTGTCGCTCGTGTGGCAATGTATTCTGTGGCAAATGTGCAGGACAACGACTGCCTTTGGCCAAATATGGCGTCAACGAGAAGGTCAGAGTGTGCATACTCTGCCAGGAGGAGATCAAGGACACCAAATCCAGAGAGGACACACAGTTACCCAAGCGAAGGTATCATCCACATCTTGTCTTGACGACCAACCTCCACACAAACGATAGTAGTAGCCATCTACATTCCCGTGGGTCCAAGTGATCACTTCTCTCCTCCATTCCCCTCACTCCCCTGTAGTAAACATAACAGACAATCTGTCCAAAAAAATATCTTTTTTGCTTTTTTGCTCGACTTTTCTGAAGACTGGGTTGTTTTGAATCCCACACACACCTTTAGTAATAAGTTCAGCCATTGATCATAACACTCTATCATTAAATATATATATATATCTGTGCACTGTACCTCTACGACTGGTAGAGAGTTACCATCATGTTCAGTCGTTTCATAAGTTGGTTATCGGGACCAGCAGTTCCTGACCAACAACAACAACAACAACAACAACAACAACAACAACAACAACAACAACAGCCCACTGATAGTACTTCGGTCGAGACAGCAGCAAACGAACAACATGAGAAGTTTCCATCAGTTGTACCACAGAGTAGGAATGTCTTTGCAGAGACAACGCCTACCACTCCATTGGTAGTTGTCGAGGAGAAGGAGTTGGAATCAAAGACGAAAGATGCTCCACAATCTCAATCACCATCGTTGCAGAAACAAGAGTCGTTGACTGCACTTCCCACCGTACAGCTATGGGATGCAGACTCTGATGGTGGCAGTGACAAAGAGGACTTCATTTCATTCTCCAACCAATTCAATACAGACAAGCCAATGTCTGACCGTAAGGGTACATTGATACAGTACAACACATGTAAGACGTCTTATCATAATTATTATCGTACAAAACAGAATTCTAACATCTACCCTACTAAAGACTCTGAGTTTGAGAAGAAACAATCTGCTCCAGTTGATTTTGAGGCACCCGTTGACTTGTTCAGTGATGAATCAATCTTAAGCGACTTGCCTCTTCCCTCAAACTCAACTCTCCAACCATCAGCCACAAAGAAGACAGCATTGACAACAGCACAGTCCTCCTCAACACCCAAGGAGGCAAACCAACAACAACCTCCAAAGCTCACGAAAGAGAAGTCATCAATCTTTGGCAAAGATTCATCTGATCTATTTTCATTTGACGCAAGCCAACAATCCAACTCACAACCAGTTGACGAGTCTCTTCTTGGTGAGTTTGACGCCGACTCCTTCCTCAAGACCAACTTCCGTTTCCCTGGACAAAAGTCATCGCCTTCACTCACATCTGCAGTGCCAGAGAAGAAGATCCAGCCCACTGTCTCTGAAGATGCCAGGCCTTCTGATCGATCTGAGGGCACCGTCACTGCCGCCCCAGCCACTCCAAAGAAGATAGTGGCCAAAGAGCTTGAGTCCTTGTTCTCTGATGACCTCACCATTGGCTTGGAGACTCTTATTGAAACCAAGATCAAGGATACCGCTTCATCTCTCACAGACTCTTTGTTTGATATGTCCACCCCAGTCCCTAAGCCCTCCAAACAGGCAACAAAGAAGAAGGCTGTTGGCTCGATATTCGATGATGAGCTCGAGGTATCTGCAGCACTTTCAGATATCCTGTCCAAGGAATCTTCGGACAAACAGGAGCAGCAGCAAAGGATCGAGAAAAAGGAGACAGAGGCCAAGAAGAAACGTGAGGATATCGATGATCTGTTCAAGGTAGTCCCTACATTGCCCACCGCAGTAGTCGTCAAGAAAGATACGTCCACTGGTGTGATCGACCTCGATGACATTGAGAGGAAGTTCTCCAAGAAGGCTCCTTCTAAGCCGATTGAGGCCAGCGATATATTCTCATCTTGGGAACAGGATATCGTCTCCACCAACAAAAAATCAGAAGCAGCAAAGATGACCAAAGAACAAGAGGAGAGAGAGAAGAAGTTGCAAGTTGAGGCAGAGAATGAGCAAAGGAGGTTGGCTGATGAGGCAGAGAAACAAAGAGTAGAGACAGCTCGTTTGGAGCAAGAGCGCCAGACTAAGATAGAGGAGGAGAAGCGAGAGCAGGAGGTCAAGGCCAAACAGCAAGAGGAGGAACGTATGGCCAAGCTGGGGGAGGAGAAACTTCTGGCCAAGTTGGCCGAGCAGGATAAGATTGAGCAGCTACGTATCGCCAAGATGGAACAAGCAAAGCAGGAGGAGGAAAAACTTTTGGCAAAGTTGGAGCAAGATCGATTGCACAAACTTGAAGCAGAACTTCTGGCCAAGGTTGAAGAACAGGAGAGATTGGCCAAGTTGGAAGAAGAGCGACTTGCCAAGATTGAACAAGAGAGGTTGGCCAAACTGGAGACAGATCGCCTTGCCAAGATGGAGGCTGACAGACTTGCCCAGATTGAACAAGATAGATTGGCCAAACTTGAGGAGGAGAGACTTGCCAAGATTGAACAAGATAGATTGGCCAAGCTTGAAGAGGAGCGACTTGCACAGATTGAACAAGAGAGATTGGCAAGATTGGAGAATGATCGTCTTGCCAAAATGGAAGCTGAAAGACTTGCCCAGATCGAACAAGATAGATTGGCCAAGCTGGAAGAGGAGCGCCTGGCAAAGGTTGAACAAGAGAGACTGGCAAGGCTGAAAGACGAACGCCTAGCTAAAGATGAACAAGAGAGATTGTCCAAACATGAAGAGGAACGCCTTGCCATTATTGAACAAGAGAGATTGGCAAAGTTGGAAGAGGAACGCCTATCAAAGATCGAGCAAGAGAGATTGGCCAAACTTGAAGAGGAACGCCTGGCAAAGGTCGAGCAAGAGAGGTTGGCCAAGCTGGAGGAGGAGAGACTTGCCCAGATTGAACAAGAAAGATTGGCCAAACTTGAAGATGAGAGACTTGCCAAGATTGAACAAGAGAGGTTGGCCAAACTGGAGAATGATCGTCTTGCCAAGATGGAAGCTGACAGACTTGCCCAGTTCGAACAAGATAGATTGGCCAAGTTGGAAGAGGAGCGCCTGGCAAAGGTTGAACACGAGAAGTTGGTCAAGTTGGAGGCTGACAGACTTGCCATTATTGAACAAGAGAGATTGGCAAAGTTGGAAGAGGAACGCCTAGCAAAGATCGAGCAAGAGAGGTTTGCCAAACTTGAAGAGGAGCGCCTGGAAAAGGTCGAGCAAGAGAGGTTGGCCAAGCTGGAAGAGGAGAGACTTGCCAAGATTGAACAGGATAGATTAGCCACACAGGAAGATGAGCGACTTGCCAAGATTGAACAAGAGAGGTTGGCCAAACTGGAGACAGATCGCCTTGCCAAGATGGAGGCTGACAGACTTGCCCAGATTGAACAAGATAGATTGGCCAAACTTGAAGAGGAGAGACTTGCCAAGATTGAACAAGATAGATTGGCCAAGCTTGAAGAGGAACGCCTTGCCAAAGTGGAACAAGATAGATTGGCCAAGATGGAGGTGGAACGCCTTGCCAAGTTGGAGGTGGTTAGACTTGCCCAGATTGAGCAAGAAAGATTGGCCAAGTTAGAAGTGGAGCGACTTGCCAAGATTGAACAGGATAGATTGGCCAAACTTGAAGAAGACGCTCGTCTTACCAAGCTCGAACAAGACAAGTCGACCAAACTTGAGCAGGAGAAACCAACAACAGTTCCTCTTGCTACAAACATCATTGCAGAAGACAAGACTGATCACGCCAAGCTGGTCCACCTTACAATCGGCAGAACCAAGATCAAGGGTAGAAACAAGCCATCAAGGAGAGCTCTGGACAAGCTTACTGGCAAACGAGAGAAGGCTAACATTCCAAATCTCAAGGAGCTAGAGGCTCAGACATTAACACAGTCCGACCAAAGCGCTGACTCCACGTCAGAGGCAACCGAAGCCCCTGTCGAGAGAAAGATACCAAAGGGTGCTGTTGCTATGCCAGGAATGATGCTTCCCAAGTTTGACCCATCCACCTTCAAAGGCCTGAAGAAGGCAGCTGTACCAACAAACCAACAATCCACACCATCATCGACCACCACATCGACAGTCAATGCCAACCCAATCCAATTTCAATTGAAGTCTGTTGGAGGCAACACAACACCACAACAACAACAACTACCATCATCGACACCCCAGTCACCTCAGTTCAACAAACCCTCGGGCCTGAACAGAACATCATCCTTTGGAGGAACACAGCCATCACTCTCTAGGACATCGTCATTCGGAGGATCCACAACGAAAGCACCGTCATCCCCAAGCAATGACGGACAGAAGGCACTTGATGTGTTGTTGCAGTGGGTCAAGCTGAACACCATTGGTTATGACGGAGTCAATGTTGTAAACTTCACCACATCGTTCACTGATGGACTTGCCTACTGTGCCCTACTGCATCACTTCTCACCAAAGTCTTTGGACTTTTCCAAGATGTCCTCTGCAAACCGATTGGAGAACATGAAGACAGCGTTTGACCTTGCTGAGAAGGATCTCGATGTCCCTGCATTGGTATGTTGGCGCGTTCTTTCCAACACAATAACAAAAACAACAACAACTAACACAAACTCAAACACTATCCCAGATGGATGCAAACGATTTGATGGACCTGCCATATCCCGAGAGATTGTCCAACATCACCTATCTTTCAGAGTTCTACAAGGCCATGAAGAGAAAGGGTCTCTAAGCTTTTTACACATATATATATATATATTCAGTTGCAACTGTTGTAATTTTAAATACAAATACAATTCTAAAGTACATTACATAAGGGTAGTGTCATCGTCACTCCAGATATCTCTAGTTTAATACAAACGTCCTAAATAGGACAAAACAATCGTCCAGACAAAAAATCTTTTGACATGTGAATTGAAATTTACCACACACAAAAAAAGTGGGGTAGGTCACCTAGTGAATCCCAAAAAGGTCAATAATGATAATTTTAATTTAATTTAATTTAATTATTATGTTAAATTGATCATCACAACACATTCAATGACACACAACATTTAAAACAGAGTAGTAGCTACATTCTTTTACACATTTAACTTACATTCTGCACATATACAAACATGAGCAATCCATTCGATCGTATTAAAGAGACCTTGTCTGTGGGTCCATCCTACTCCTTTTACAACTTGAACAAGTTGAATGATCCAAGAGTCGGTATGTATTCAGCCCTTTTGCCTCCATATCAATACGTACACACACACGCACACACACACTTCTCCTCTTCTCATCACTTTACAATCTTCCAAAGACATACAACTAACTTACTACTACCCAACGACTTGTCACACAGCACAATTACCATACTCAATCCGTATTCTCTTGGAGGCATCCATCCGTAATTGCGACAACTTCCAGGTTCACGAAAAGGATGTCGAGAACATTTTGAATTGGAAGACCACTGCCAACAATGTGGAGATTCCATTTAAGCCCGCTAGAGTACTGCTTCAGGACTTTACTGGTGTACCAGCCGTAGTTGATCTCGCCGCCATGAGAGACGCCATGAAGAGACTCGGTGGTGATCCCAACATGATTAATCCCTTGGTTCCAGTTGATTTGGTTATTGATCATTCTGTTCAGGTTGATGTTTCAAGGACGTAAGTACCAACCAAAACAATTGTCATGATGGGACCATGCTAACCAATATTCATTCATTCATTTAGTGCTGATGCCTTGGAGGAGAACCAAAAGATGGAGTTCCACAGAAACATCGAGCGTTTCAGATTCTTGAAGTGGGGACAACAGGCCTTCAAGAACCTCTTGATCGCACCACCAGGCTACGGCATTGTTCACCAAGTCAACCTTGAGTATCTTGCCCGTGAGGTCGTCAAGGGAGACAATGGTGTCCTCTACCCAGACTCTGTCGTTGGTACCGACTCTCACACAACCATGGTCAATGGCCTTGGAGTTTGTGGTTGGGGTGTTGGTGGTATTGAGGCTGAGGCCGTCATGTTGGGCCAACCTGTATGTATCGTTAACAATCATCCAAACAGACATATTTTTAACATTCAAATCATATCTCTATTTAGATGAGTATGGTTCTTCCAGAGGTCATTGGCTATAAATTCGTTGGAAAGCTTCCAGACTTGGTGACAGCCACTGATCTGGTCCTCTGTGTCACCAAAGAGTTGAGAGCCAAGGGTGTTGTTGGAAAGTTTGTTGAGTTCTTTGGCGAGGGAGTCTCTACACTCTCTGTCCAAGACCGTGCTACCATCTCCAACATGGCCCCAGAGTATGGTGCTACCATGGGCTACTTCCCAGCCGACGCCAACACAATTAAGTACTTGGCCAACACTGGCCGTCCAGCTGAGAACCTCGAGTACATCGAGGCATATCTCAAGGTTCAGGGTCTACTCTGCGACTACAGCCGCAACGAGCAGCTAACGTACTCCTCCACCCTGGAGCTTGACCTCTCAACAGTCGTTCCTTCATTGGCCGGACCAAAGAGACCGCACGACCGTGTTGCCACCGCTAACATGAAGTCCGACTTTGCTTCCTGTTTGAAGTCACCAATCGGATTCAAGGGCTACGGTTTAACACCAGAGCAGATCGCCAAGAAGGCCACCTTTGTCCACAATGGACAACAATTCACCATCACACATGGAGCCGTTGCCATTGCTGCAATCACCAGTTGCACCAACACCTCGAATCCATCCGTAATGATTGGTGCTGGTTTACTCGCAAAGAATGCAGTTGAGGCTGGTCTCTCTGTTGCCAGCTACATCAAGACCAGTTTGTCGCCAGGCAGTGGTGTCGTCACTGAGTACCTGAACAAGAGTGGTGTGCAGCCATTCTTGGACCAATTGGGATTCAACTTGACTGGCTATGGCTGTATGACTTGCATTGGTAACTCTGGGGAGCTTGCCGAGTCCGTTGGTGAGGCTATCATCAAGGAGGATCTGGTTGCCGCCGGTGTGCTCTCTGGAAACCGTAACTTTGAGGGTAGAATCCATGCCAACCTCCGTGCCAACTATTTGGCCTCACCACCTCTGGTCGTTGCCTACGCATTGGCCGGAACAGTTGACATTGACTTTGAGACCCAACCCATTGGCATTAGCTCCAAGACAGGCAACCCAGTGTTCCTCAGAGACATTTGGCCATCGTCAAAGTTGATCCAGGACACCATTACCAGCTCCGTTTTGCCAGAGATGTACAAGACTTTCTACTCCAATGTTACTGGTGGAAACCCAAGATGGAACGCTCTTGAGGTACCCCAAACCTCTCTTTACCCATGGGATGAGATGTCCACATACATCCACAACCCACCATTCTTCCAGTCGATGCAACTCTCCCTTCCCACTCTGACCGACATTAAGGATGCCTACTGCCTGCTCAATCTTGGTGACAGTATCACCACCGATCACATATCGCCCGCCGGTAACATCAGTCGCAAGTCCACCGCTGCCAAATATCTGGAGGAGCATGGCGTCGATCCAAAGGACTTCAACACCTACGGAGCTCGTCGTGGCAATGATGAGGTTCTTGTGCGTGGTACCTTTGCCAACACTCGTCTCGTCAACAAGTTGGCACCATCAGTCGGTCCACAAACCACTCATATTCCAAGTGGTGAGGTCCTCTATGTCTCTGAGGCCGCTCAAAAGTACATTGCCAACGGATCGCCATTGATCGTTCTTGCTGGTGCCGACTATGGAAGTGGATCATCCAGAGATTGGGCCGCCAAAGGACCATACCTCCAGGGAATCAAGTGTGTCATTGCCGTTTCCTTTGAGCGAATTCATCGCAGCAACCTTGTTGGCATGGGTATCGTACCATTGCAGTTCAAGGAAGGACAGAACGCAGACAAACTTGGATTGAAGGGCACTGAGCAGTTCAACATTGAGATCCCAGCACAGATCACCACTGGACAAACAATCGTTGTCACAGCGAGCAATGGAACCAAGTTCGAGACTACCTTGCGTTTCGACACACCAATTGAGATTGAGTACTATAGAAACGGTGGAATCCTCCCATACGTCCTCCGTCGTCTCCTCTCCAACAAGTAAATACATTATTCCCCCATCATTCACAAACAGTTAGTAGATGTGTATCTATTTTTATTGTTATTGTATTCGACTTTCCATTTGTAGGATGAGTTTCATTGCATTGTCCTTGTACTCGTTTGTGGTTGGCATCTTGGGGAGTGAGCCAAAGGAATGATGATGAGGCTTTGAGGTGACAAGATTTGCACCAGAAAGATTAAAGAGAATCAGCCAAAGACTATCAGGGTCATGTTGTGTCATCTTTTTCCAAATAGTCATTGCCAATCGTTGAAACTGCTCTGGTTGTTTGATTGATAGGTATGGCAGTGTGAGCCTTGCTGTGTCCAAAAGGTGTTGTTGGTTACCTATTGATACGCTAGACATTAGAACGTTGATAGTCTCCAAAACAGTGTTTTGTGATAAATAGGTAGATGTGAACTTGGATGCTTTGGACATGTGATCATTGTTGGAGTCAATTATTGGTGTGATGAGGGGTTGTGTTGTTGTCAAACTATTGGTCTGGTTTGTCGTCTCTGACCCATTATTCACAATATGGAATGATATAATTGACTCTGGTTGATTATCATTGGGATGATATTCCAAAGATGCACTGGTTTGTTCGCTTATTAGGATATTCTGTAATACTGGAAACAGATCATTCCAGTAACGTTGTGTGAGAAAGTCTTTGGCCATAATGGAAATCGACTGGACAAGCTCCAAAGCGCGTCGACATGTGACTCTTTCACTCGTTTGTTGCACTCTCTTGACGATTGATGGCCACACTGTATGAATTAGGGGAAAGAGTGCCACTCTTGGTTGCTTGGTATCTGAAGCGTTACGCACCTTGCTTGAAGGTTGTATGCTCTCATCAGTCTTCTCTTCTTCTTCCTCATCACCACCATATTTCCTATTTCCAGTCGATACGATCCAAAGTCCCATTTCCACAATCTCCAGTACAGTCATCTTGATCTCCCTGTTGCTTGAGCCAATGAAGTGTTTACATTTGTGAATGATGTCACTGAGCAACTCTCTCTGCTTCTCTGTTGTCACTAGAAACTTTGAATCACCATTCACCATAGATTGTTGTTTCTGATGTTGCTGCTGTTGCATGTGTTGACCACCATAGTTGTGTGTCTGTTCATTGATCTCCTTCTGCTTGTGGTGACCAATAAAAAATGATTTGATGTTGTCAATGCTTGCATTCGGTTCAACTGGGGAGGAACTCTCATCAAATGGGCCACTACCACAAACAGCAGCAGTAGAAGCAGCAGGGGTATTGATACCCTGCTGCTGTAGTGCTTGAGAGTTGTATTTGATCTCCAACCTCGAGTTGTTATACAACACCTTGATGATATTGTACAGGATCTTAATAAAGATAGTGATGCTCTTTGATTGCTCGGTCGCAGTGTCCAAAGCCATCAATATCATCTCGACTGTGTCCTTCAAGAATGGAAGGAATCCAAGACCAGTAATACTCAGTATTCCTTTGAATACATTTGGTGTGTTTGGATTCTCATTTAGATACCTCATGTTGTTCTCTGTTGTTGGACGATTATTAGATTGGTTCTTTTTGTACTACTCTCCCACTGATTGTTCGGTTATTAGCCTGTCAAACTTACCAACACGGTCCAATAGGTAATCAGAGTTCTTGTATACGATATCTTCCAATGAATCATAATTGAACTTTGTCGTGAGTGTAGTGAGTGTTGTGCTACATGATCGACCCAATAGTCCAGTGCTGTCGTGTGAGGAAGAACCCAAGGTCTCCAAAAGTGGGTATATAACCCTACTAATATATATTGATTGTTGTTTAGCTGTGAGGGGCGCAAGTTGATGTTAGGTAATCAATGCTCTATGTCTGTCAAGAGGATGTTATACGTACGGTGTTGTACAAATGAGCAAATGACAGCCAAACCATCAACTACAAGAGTTTTGATGATTGTATTGTCAAGGTATTGCTCAACATGTGATGATTTGGAGGAATGTTTCAACAATGATGATGACGGATCAGTATCATCATTGTATGATGGTGGTGTTGATGGAAGACTCAAGAGATTGTTATCCAGATATTCGTCCAAGATGTAGGTGATTGTAGAGTGATCCACATTGTGTCTATGGGTGTACAGTGATACACCAATCAGTATCTGATTGATCGTGAGAAGTATCTCTTTGATACGTGGTGATCCAGTGAGTGAGTCCGACATTAGCACATTGATCCAGTTATCTAAGCTGATCCTTGATCCAAGTTCTCTAATGAGATCGAATGTCCATTTCTCCAACTTGGCACTGGTGATGTGTAAATATGGTCGTGACATATTGTTTCTCTGCATTACTCTCTTTGATTTTGATGTTGTCTTTAACCTCTCTGTGTTAATGTTGGTAAGTGATTTGATCAAATGAGCTCCTTTATATTGTTTGATACATACCCATAGGATTATCAGATACAATTCGGAGTGTATCCTCCAAACTGGATTGAGATCCAGAGATGATCCGTTGGTCGGGTTGAGGTGAGTGCATTTCAACCAGTTGCAAAAGAGTTGAGGAAATGACATCTATTCGTACTGTTATATAATGATCGATTATACTCTCTGGTATGACTTTGACATATGATACGGCCAGTTGTGTCACCATCTCCTTCACCTCAACATCGAAGCTCTGCTGATGTTGTACTGATTCACCTCCACCACATATCAGACGTGGGAGTGACTGAAACAAATATTTAAAGTTGTTCTGTAGTGTCTCGTGGATTGAGCCACCAACTCTAGACTGATGTTGCATCAATCTTGAAAGGTAATCCTTTGATTTGCTGCTGAGTTGTTCATTGTCATCAAGTGTGTACAGTACTAATGTCTCAATCAATGGTGGTACAATGGTTGGTAGTGTGTTGCTACAGTGTTGAAGTAGCCTGTAGGTACTATCCAGTATACAGAAGTGCATACTAATCTTGACTGAGGACTGTGGTGTATGGTGTGACGAGCGGTTTTTTGACGCTGCTGTTGTTGTTGTTGGTAGAAGATTTGAATGACTGCCAGAGTTGGGAAATATTGAGCAGATGAAGCGATGGATATTGGACTCTGCTTGTGATGTCTCTGGTGATTGTTTGTTATTCTGGATAATTGCACTACTAGAATCGCTGTATTCTGGTGCAAGAAATTGTTCAATGACCCCATTATCTCCATCACTGTTGTTGTCACCATGTACAGCTATGATCAGATTGGTGAATATTCCAAGTGCCTCAACCTTTACGTTGGTGCCCACCTTATAATCAGCAGTGACAGTTTTGAACATTGACGTGAGTGTGCCAGGGAATATGTGTTGAACGACCACTCGCTCTTTGTTCTGGATTAGAGGATAAAGAACAATCGACAAGGTCTTCAGACATGATAGTTTGATGTTCCTAGTGATTGAGTTGGATGCCAGAATGCCAAGCAATGTGGAGATTGTGAAGCCAATAGAGATAAACAATGGACTTTGAAGAGTGATACTATCAGGTGAAGGTTGTTGTTCAATACTACTGTATAGGTTGTCTGATGGTGATGATGTCGACACTGGTGACCACCATTGGAAGAGTGCCTGTAATGCTGTTAATGACCATGTCAATTGCTCATCAGAGATCATGTACAATTGTTGTTTAGAAGTAGTGGTGCTGTTATCACTTTGTTGTTGTTGTTGTGGTTGTGTCGACCTGTAAATGATAGAGCTGATCAACTGTACGATCTCAGTGAACTGTCGAGTTGTTGGGTATGAATGACCAGTGAGTCTTTGAGCGAGTTGAGCTACAGTCTGTAAAGCAAGACATTGAATGGTATCACGAGCAACACACTGTTGAATCGGTGGTGTCGGAAGCATGTCGGGTGTTAACAATAACACTATTGGTATATTGATATAGTCCACTAACTTGGTCAACTGATTAGGTTCACTACTCTTAATACGATCATTCAGTGAGTTTAGTGATGTTGTCAATCTGGTCAATATAGTTTGTTGAGTACTAATGGCGTTGTTGTTGTTGCTGCTGCTGTTTGACAATATTGACAGTAATTCATCACATATAGGTTTAAACCTGTTGAATGCTAGGTTCATCGATATCCTATCCTCGTTGCTATTAATGTTGTTGTTGTTGTTGTTGACCTCCATTGTTATGTGTACACTATGTCGTCCTTTGTGATTTGAACTGCATTCCCCCCAAAGTTTCTACTTGACAATCCTGTTCATCTCAAGGACCACAATTGCAACATACAGTTATTCGATTGATTGAGAAGATGGATAAGAACGAACTAGAGGCACTTCAACAAAGAGGTTTACAAGCAAACGTACGTTGCAACACTGATGGTCGGCATGTTGAACATGAACTAACACAACCAATCGAATATGTATATATATATGTAGCCAGAGGCTCAACAGAAAGCAGAACAGCAAAGAAGAGAGAATGAGGAGCGTAGGAGTCATATTCTAGTACAGATCCTTACACCAAGTGCAAGGGAGAGACGTATGTCATCCTATTTATCGATGGCATTATCAAACACAGCACAGCAGGTGTCATATGATTATTGACTCATGATGATTCATTTACCCAACACACAGTGTCTAGAATAGCGATGGTCAAGGGTGACAAAGCACGTCAAGTAGAGGACATGATCATTGGTGCTGCACAGAGTGGACGTCTCGCCGAGAAGGTCGATGATGCCAAGCTAGTATCATTACTGGAGCAGATAAGTGAGAAGACAACAAAGACTAACATTATTGTAAGTATCCCTCTCGAAAGCAATAAAGCCAACCACTAATACCCTCCATCTATCACAGATGAAGAGAAGAACAATTGATGAAGACGACTAGTCCTGCGCAGGGTACATATTAGCAACAACAAAGTTTACTTTACACGCATCTGTCTCTCTCTCTTTCTCTTATTGATGCTGCTCAGCATGATGGTGGTGTTGGTGGTGATGATGATGATGTTGCTGTGGCTGTTGATCCATCACCTTTCTTACAAGTGGGAGAACGTTACTCTCGACGTCACTGTCATTCGTTGGCAGCTTGACATCTCTGAAGAGGAACCAGTTCTCCACGAGATCAGTATGCTGGCCAGGTTCGATGCGCTCTAATGGACCCACAGTCTCGAGCTCGACAATGTCTGGCGATAAGTAGACCTCGACATTGGCTCCATGATCGACCTCTAGGTTTCTGGTGCATCGATTGATCAGCTTTACAAACAGAGAGCCGGTGCCATTCACGGCAGCCGTCCAACCATTGTTCACTTGGGCACCAATCTTGTTGGTAGTGGTGGCGGTGGGCTGTTGATCGACCAACAAGTACTTCTCACCAAAGATGAAGCGAGGGTCGTTCAGCTTGGTGTAGTTCCAGATGGATAATGATGTCTTTGCCTGCAGTGGAGTCTGACCAGGGGTCAGTTCAGACAGTGGCACTATAGCACGGGTCTGCTTGCACATCACAGTGATGGCCCAAGGAGCGAGCTCAATAGGCCAGCGAGAGATGTTGGTGACCTGATGGCGCACCTCCAAGTAGGGCTCAGTCGAGCCACTACCACCACGACCAGTGATGATGATTGTCTTGGCTACGTTGTTGACAGTCTCGTGAGGTGGTTTGAGGGTGACGCTATCCTCGTTGGAAATGAGTTCAACCGGGTCGTTATCGGGATAGTAGGTGCGAGGGTCGACCTCTGGCGCAGTCCACAGACGATGTCCACCATAGAGTCTCCAGCTGTCACCACCTGTCTTGCCAGCATCGGCCTGAGCAAAGGCGAACATCTCATGATGTGTGTCACTGTGCGACAGAGAGATGATCCTAGGTCCTACATCTGTCGTCACAATGCACACCAAATGGTGCCACTTGATCTGATAGCAATTGTTCCATCCAAGGTGTAGTATCTTCTTGACCTCCATAGCTATAAAGGTTGTTGTCTAGTGCTGCACTCTACGATGCTCCCTGATAACCTGCGAATGATAAATGTTAGATGTTGTAATAATGAAGAAGAGGAAGTAGTTCAACACACCTTGAAAACAACCTCAGCTTTCCAAGACAAAGTTGAATGAATCATTCCAATTTCTCATTAAATCTTGCTCATTATTATTATTACAAACAAACAAACAAACAAAGAAATAGATATTTATACATTTAGATGGATGACCTTGTATGTATCTACACTAACCAAAGACACAGCGATGTCATATTCTAACAATCGCTACTGCCATAGCCATTCACATATGACGATGAAAACGAAGAGAATGAAGCAATTGACTGTCCGATTTGCTATTGCCCATTGATCGATCCAGTGGAGCACTCTTCACAGAACTCACAGTGCAGTCAGTTATTCTGTCGACAGTGTGTAGAGAAACAGAAGCGATGTCCCTTCTGTCGATACGACGTTCAGCACTGGAATGACGTGCTGCTGACACCTTCAACACAGCGCTTCTTGTTCAGACCTCTATCAGAAGTAAAGGTCACCTGTAAGGTCTGCTTAAAGTCTACGACCAGAAAGGATATTGTAGACCATGTTCAATCATGTTCAATTGGTATGTCATTGTTGTCAGTGATTGATTTTCAATGTCTGAATGCATACACTAACATACAACCATTAGTACTACCACCTGGACTGATACCCAAGGTTAAGCCAATGAATGGCAATAACAACAGCAACAACAACAGCAGTGGCAACACAACATCTTTTATAACACCTCTAATTGATTTCACCAGGAGGATGTTTGCGAATGATGCCCCACAGAATGCCAACAATATTAACAACAACAATAATAATAATAATAATAACAACAACAATAGTACATCTAATCCACCAATACCCAATAATCCTCAACCTCTTCCAACTCCGCAATCAACCGCGATAGCCCCACCTTTGACAAGCCTCGAGAGGCCACCAACACAAACTACATCATCCAATCCTATAACAAATCTAACTATACATCCAACACCTCCAGCCCTTCCAACACCTCCAGCCCTTCCAACACCACCTCAGAACTCTTTCTATCCCTCCAGTACGATCTTTCCACCCTCGATGTATCACTACCAGACCTACACACCTCCTGCCTCTTACATGCCAACATCACCATACCAACCCAACGGACCACCAACCTATCAATATCCTCCACGACCTTCCTCATATCTATACCCCAACCTTCATAGCAATCCATCTGTACTACAATCCTTCCATCAACCTTTACACACGAGTTTGATGCCAAACGTCAATACATTCTCGCCAGCAGCATCATCCACCACCAATGCCAACAACAGTATATCCAACATCAATGTCAAAGCGGCCAAGTCAACGATACCATCTGATTTCCAACATGTCTATCTCAACACCTCGCCACCAAAACTCAACGAGAAGTACAGCAACAGATCATTCATTGGCTCTGTCTTTATGTGCGAAGTGTACAATCACTGTCAGTTCGACAATGTCAAGCTCAACAGCACTCGCATCAATAGCACTCAGTTCATTGAGTGCACCTTTAGTAATTGTGAATTTATTGGCGCTTCTTTTGTCAATTGCACCTTTACCAATTGCAAGCTCTCCAACTGCAACATGTCAAACGCAGTGCACAATAAGACCAACTTGATCGACACCAACATTGACAACCTCAATGGCTTCCAATCAACATTTGAGGCATGCATCTTTGCACACTGCAAGCTCGACAATCTCAACGTCACCCGTGCAACACTCACTGGCACCCTGCTCAAGTTCACCAAGCTCAACAATGTGAAGTTGGCAAACTCCAACCTTTTGCATACCAACTTCCCAAACTCCACTCTCATCAACGTGTCATTAGAGGAATGTGTCATTTCAAGTCACTCTCTTAATGGAGTTAAAAAACAGAGCAATGTACGAACAGATAGACTAAGGATCATTTAAATGGTACTGTTGGTCGATCAATAAAGTGCCGAATATTTATCTACTTCAATCTTCAAAGGCAGCCCAAGACCTCAGTAATGTACATCTTGCCATCTTTACTACTACACCAACAAAGAGGTATTCTTTCAACAACCAAAATCCAAACTTTATTGTTGGGCATCAACTACAACAGTTCCAGTAGATGGAACAGCTCTGGCAGTGATTGACTTGTGCGAGGGGTTCTTTGGTCTAAAGCTAAACACATCAATTAAGGTTCTGGTCCTTAGTTTCTTAACTGGCTGTGCAGTTGTGGCAACTGGAGATGCTTGACTTGAAGATTCCAACTCCACTTGTACCTGGACTGATTTTCTATTCATACGTCTATAGGCAATTACACCTGCTGCTACTGACACTGCGGCAACCGCTGCAATACCTCCAGCGATAGCTCCTGCCAAAGCACCAGTTGACAAGGTGGCAGCGGCAACAATCAATTCAGGTCGATCAGCTAAAGTACTATCACCTCCAAAATGGCCCTCACTAAACTCTGATACAGACATATCACTAAATTCATTGACGGAATCTAATAATATATATTTTGTAAGCAATAGATTGGGATAACTTCCAAAAATGATTTAAATTATACTTACAAGTTGGTTGAATCTCGGAGGGGTACGATACTACAGGTTCTACTTCTGCCAACAAAGATCTTTGTGTAGTATCAGATGTAGATGTGGCAAAGTCAAGGTAGATATCAACACCTTCAGTTCTTACTTCATTCAGCTTGGCAACTTCTAAAAGGTTGATCTATAATATATTTATATATATTAATAAAATATTATATAACATTGTCTATTTAAATACATACTTTATATTTAGCAAACCTTGATTGTATCTCATCATTGCTATAAACAATCTCATAGGTATCCCTCCAATTAATAAATGAATTCCATAGTTCATTTTCAGTTGGTACTCCTCCTATTACCGAGACTAATATGAGCAATGACACTAATAATAACATAAACTTAATATTTGACAATGACATTGTTATCTGTATCTTTCTTTTTGTTTAGTTTACTAATAATAATAACTAAAAACCCAACTCGATTTAGATTGAACTTATTCTATTGGTGTAGAGTTAGATGTAGTTCTACAATTTGGGATCGATGGTTCTACAACCAGATTGTTTCTTTAACCGATTGGATTAATTAAGTCTTGACTTTGTGCGTGACACGCCATCTAGATTTTTGAAGATCGTGATTTGTCAATAAATATCTGGTGAAGGGTTATTTTGAACGAGCTTTTTATGTCTGTTTAATTGAAAAGACCAGTCTTTGGCCCAAACCACAGTCCAACCCATTGACTAACTTTAGAAATTAGAAGGAATTAATTAATTAATTAATGTACGATAAGTCGATTAAAACAACTTGATCGATCTTGGTTAATCATGAGTCTACATCTTGTACGTCATCAACTTAATAGATGTTGTCTATTCCAAAAAAAAAAAACAAACAACAAATAACAATGAAATATATATTATTTTTATTTACATTGATCAGTTTGATCACACCTCTATTAGGTGCTCCTTTGGATTCGAAGGATATCGCTTCAATCGTAGAGATTCATAACTCATGGAGGTCCTCCCCAACTCCTTCTCCTCTATCACCTTTGCCCCTTCTGGTTTGGAACAATACCATTGCTAATTTGGTTCAAAGTCATTTAGACAATTGTTCATCATCTTTAAGTCCTGGTGCTCTCTATGGTATCTACAGTGAATGGAGGAGTACTTCATCACTCTCATTTAGTTTGAACAAGGTATGTCAAATTGCCATGTTAATTAATATATCTCTCTAACTAAACTAACTTATCATCTAGACTCTCAAGAATGTTATTCAACTTGCTGACCAATATGATTGGAGCAAGTCAACTTGCAAACCAGGTAAAGCTTGTCAGCCATATCTCGTTGCAATGTCAAACAGAAGTCTGAGCATTGGATGTGCCAAAACCTCATCATGTGGATTTCTAAAGACAACCATAATCTGTGATTATTATCCTGCTGGAGGTCTACCTGGAGCTGATCCTTACAAGAAATTTGTAGTAACACCCAAACCAACTACAACTCCAACTCAGACACCAACCCAAACTCCGACTCAGACACCAACCAAAACACCAACTCAAACACCTACACAGCCTCCAACACCAACACCCACAACACCACCTGTCAGTCCCAACGACTCTGATTGGAGAACAAAGAACATTCTAACACCAGTCAAATCCCAAGGAAACTGTGGATCATGTTGGAGCTACGCTGTATGTATCCTCTCATCATCACCTGATTATAAGTTTAATGATTCTTGATTACTGATCGATCATCCCGAAATAATAATAATAGTCTATTGCTCATATTGAGGCCAAGTACATGCAAAAGTATGGAGGCGATCCAAACACAGCCATTGATCTATCGGAACAACAAATGGTCAACTGCTTGCCATATGGATGTGCTGGTGGGTGGTATACCAAGATCTTTAGAACGTTTGCAACCGGTATCCAATCGGAAGCAGACATCCCCTACGTCGCAAAGAATGACACGTGTGTGCACCAACCGGACCGACCGCATGTCAAGTGGGCCTCTTGGAAGTTCCTGCACAACACCAAGCAAGCCATTATCGATGAGCTTCAGAATGGTCCAGTGGTGACTGGTGTTATGTCAGACACAACGTGGAGGAACTACAAGAGTGGTATTTTGAACTGTGCTGTAAAGTACAATGATACCAATCATGTGATCGTGATCGTAGGCTACAATACCTATAATGACTACTGGATCGTAAGAAAGTATGTATGATACAACAAACACATCAGGTATTCCCATTCGCTAACACATAATATTACCACACTATCCATATCATGATTGAAGCTCTTGGGGTACCAAATGGGGATATGGCGGATATGCCTACATCAATGCAACCAATGATGATTGCTACATGATTGGTATCAATAACCCTGCTGTAGTAAACTTCTAGAATAAACATTAGTAGTTATTTGTTTGGCGCATATAAAGAGTGATCTAGAAATTGTTACATGGACCCTAATGTTGTCAATAACGTGACATATATATTTTCTCCTTTGAACCTGGAACAGGTGCAGACCTGGCAAACTTTAGCACAAACGATTCCAGTCCTGCGTCCTGTGTGATAATAGGTCTATATGTGTTGAACAATATCAGTTAGATTGTGCATTGGTGACAACTCAAATAGATACCTACCTAATATATGGTTCCAACTCTGGTAGACTCCATTTGGTATTGATCTTAAACAACTGTATGAATCTATCCTTTGGCATTATTGGTAAATCCTCTTCACTCAAGTATGTTGCCGTTGGTTTGTTGTTGTTCTTGGCCACCGTTGCCACTGCCACTCCTTTTAGCATGTCGAAGCGTGGTGTGAATCCAACTGGTACAGAGTCTGTCCATTTCTCCAAGAACTTGTCCATTGGCATTACTCCAACACTCTGTAAGGATGTCCACTGCAATATTAGAATATCATCAATATTGATATGATCCAGTGATGGTCAACAACATACCTTTAGTATTTGCTTGCCTCTGAATATACAAATCATATTGGTGTCTAGTTTGTAATATTGATCACTATTACTTGACATCTTATCCTCGCACTTTGTAGCATAGATATGAAAGATATACTCCAATGCCTGTCTTGGTGTGTCACCAATCTTCTCAATGCACTCATTGATTGGTATGGAATGAGATGACCAACCATTGATGTTTATCTCTGTCAATATCAACTCCACCAATCGCTCGTGGTATCTTTCAGAGAACAATGCAATCCTGTCTGTGTGTGTGATCCAGTCAATCGTTTAGTCTGACAGACAACGTCACCAACATATCAAGAATGATAGATACAACATACCTCCAATGTGGAACACATGAAGTACACTGTTGAGATACTGTTGTATTTCAAGTGGACTGGCCTGTACCAGTGATTCCAATTGAGGCATAGTATATCCTACTGCAGTACTAACATCAGTGCCATTGTCAATGACCATTCCATCCACATTGTTGAAGCATTGATTATTGTCGATTGGTCGTTTGAGCAAGTGAGTTTTGATAGTTGCCAGTCTAGGTGGTATCTCTGTCAACTCATAGTGTAGCTGTTGTAATGATTCGATCGAGTAGGTATTACTGCCAGTCTGTTGGTGGGTGAGCATCATTGAGTTTGAAGTATGAGCTGACTTTAGCACATATGTCTTAATGCTGGTGCACAATACTGCCTCATCATTCTTATCCACTCCCTTTATAACTAATCTGTTGTGTATGATCATGGTTAATGAGCTGGATGTATAACAACAAGATGTTAGATAGATAGATAACTAGATGAATAGCTACCTTCCGGTTGATTGTAAATCATCCAATACATCACTGCTAACCTCTAGCAGTTTGAAACCATTCAATGGGTAGTGATCATTGAATCTAACAGTTGTTATCGTTGTTGTTGCTGTCTCTGAGGCTATTGACATTGTTTGTTATATATATATATTATATATTATATGTTGTTGTTGTTATTATCACTCTATCAAACAAACATTAATGAATCTGGGTTAACCTATTCATTTGAATTTGGCGCCAAGCTAATGATATGAACTTCCCATAAAGACACTAAACAGTGGGAAGATTAAGATAGATATCTGATCATGTAACATGACATTGTATTATTATTGTTGTTTACACTTCATACACACCGCCAATGATTTGTTTCATGCGCTTCATGAATCGATGACGATAGAACTTGGGTGGTGCCGACGAGATACCTTCTCCATCTTTCCTGGCAAAGTACACCTTCAAGAATCTCTCACGCTTCTTGCTGAAATCATACAGTTGCAATATATCTATAATACCAATGTAAACTACTTCCTTCCTTGTCGACGTCACTGTTGGTTGGTTTGTTGGGTAATATGTCTAGGTAAGTGAACCCGCTCATCAAATAAAGAATGGGTAGTTCATCATTAACATACCAATACGATGAATATTATCATCCTCCAATGATCGTTGTTGTTCCTGTAGTTGTTGTTGTTGATGTTGTTGTTGTAGTTGATCTGGTTGTGGATCACCCTGTTGTTCTTGTTGAGATTGTTGTTTTTGTTGTAATAATGCATCATCCTCCTGTTGTTGTTGCTGAACATTTGAATGAACACCTATCAGTAGACTGTAGTCCATAATATTGAGACCAGTGAGGAAGTCAGAGTCTTTGCCCAGTTGATTCAGTATTGGATCCTTGAGACGTGGAGGCACGTTGAGATACTGTCTGGTGTTGATAAAGTCCAAATCCAGACCAAGTGTCTTTGGATCATAGTTGTAGTGTCCACCACGATTGACACTTGATCCCTTCAAGTCATATCGCTCCGTTATCTTTTGCTTCGTCGTACTGAACACATTGGACATGACTGCCAGGTACACATGATGGTTTGGCATCACAATCTTGTAGTTACCATAGAATCGTAATAAATAGGATGAACTGTTTCCTTTGAAATACTATGGTGGGTGGTGTAAGTGTCAATGGAACGATTGACTGATTGGTTGATCAATCCACTACTACTTACATCATAAAACTTGATCATAATGTTTCGTAGCAAGACAGACTCTTGTTGAGTGATCGTTTTGATCAGATACTTGTTGTCTGGTGTAAAGCACATGAAACTTCCACTCTTGCCCTCTGAAAACTTCTGGTTGGATAGTACATCAAAGAAGGTCTCTGCATTGAATGATCGCTGTAATGTATTGGTCAGTAATTATTACTTCCACATTCATTCAAACAACCAACCAATAACAACATACCAAATACTCTTCAGGTGTAATACCTTGTAGACTCCTGATTGCTGCGAATGTCTTTGGTGTGTAGTCCTTGAACTGATGCTTCTTGATACTGGAACTCTGTATGCTGAGCTCCTCACGGAATAACTGTTGCTCTGTATATATCTTGCAGTCATCCTTCATTTTGATGGACATTTCATTGACTGGATCTGTGTTGTCGCCCACCGACAGAGTGATGCCCTTGAGACAACAGGTGAGAATGTAGTTCCTGAGAGAGGTGGCCAACTGTGTTGGATCCTGCATGTCGTCCTTGAGTGATTTGAGCAGTGGTATGTTCTCCTCCAGTCTGTTGAAGCTGAGACATGGTATGACCCTCTTGACATTGTTGGTGAAGCCCTTGAAGAACTGAGGGTTGGTCAGCCACACTATAGCATTCATGAAGCCCTGCACCGACACACCAATCGCATCAAAGTACATCAATGGTGTTGGATCAAAGTTGCTGCTGTCACTGCTGTCACCATTCTTGTTGTTGCTTGGCTCTGTCCACTGAACAGTGCGATGAATAACTGGGCCGAGCCAACAAAGAATGAAGACGGCCGTATAGGAACTCATGCGAATGAGCATGCCACGACGGTTCTCATCGGACAGCGTAGAGAAGTTGCCCGAGTAGTAAAAGGCTGTGATGAGTGATCCGATGGAGAGTGCAAAGTAGGCCATCAGCGGAACAAAGAAGGAGAGTCGCATCAGAGACTTTTTGTTCATCAGCCAGCAGGTGCCATCACCAGAAGGTCCAATGTCCTCATAGTCGAGAGCAAACATCAGCACGGTGGACACGAGGCTCAAGCCCCACACCCAGACGTGATACCACTTGGACAGAGAGGATGTGTTGCGGAATGGATTGGCAGATGTAAGGATCAGATTGAGTGAGATCATGCCCGACCAACTGATGGAGGCCAGACCAAAGAACTGTTGTAAAGCAGCCTGAATGTTGCACCAGACCATATGTTGTTGTAGAGACTGTGAGTTGGGAATGACAGAGGTGATCATATACTTGGCACTAAAGATCAGATCGCATATCGACAGGAAGAACACCATACGAGTAGGATGTTTCTTCAGGTCCTTGTACCAGATGAATGTGATGATAACAAATACTGCACCAATGCATGATAACAAGGCCAATGAGCCTGATATTCTATAGAGTAGCTGTTGTGTTTGTTTATGAATGATGATCAAAGTGTTAGAGTTCTTTAAAGTTTATTTAAATGTTGTCTTGTTGATTATTCCAATCTATTCATACCATTGGTAGTTATATGTGTTTGTTGTTTATGTGTATGTATGTGTTTAAATGATTGTTTGTGTGTTGCCTTGATAAGTCTGATCGACACACTTTAATTTGTTAGAAACACACACTTTATGCTCGGCACGGAAAATATCTTACAGAGCGAATCTGATCAAAACTTGGGATACAAAGAGAGAACAATCATTGGAACCTACAGGTAAGTCGTAGGTTTTGATTGGGTAACAAAGACTACTGGTCTATATCAAAAACGTCATTTCAAGGATGATGTTGTTGATGACGACGATGAATGACAATGCCAACGACGATGATTGGATGTATGGATGCCAAATTACAAAGATTGGGTCTTTGATCGTACATTGGCAATATGAAGGGATGATGATTGAGTGAGATGACGTAGAAGGAGTCTCATATTGATGATTGATGATGTAGATAAAGTCCTTCAAAAAGTACATCTTGCGAACAGACCTTTATCATTATCCATCCACTATCTAACTTGGCTCCCTCGAGGTCAATCCAATTACAGTACTTACCTACTGTCAGTCATGATTAGAAGAGTCTTCTTCGCTTCGCCAACCGTCACCCTGGACCAGTCTTCGTGTTATCTATGAGATGAACCAATTCCTTGTCCCTCCACCGCTATGATACCCAAGTGAGGCACTCTATGGATGGACAGAGATGAGAATGCCGCAATCAACATTGGCGTCATTTTTGTTGGAGGCCTCAGAGACACGTCCTAATGTACAATACAAGAGGACCGAGTTGTTCACAAGGAAGGCTCAGGACAAAGAGACCAAGACACAATAAAAGATAGCATCCATTATTTTATCATCTATTTTTTCAAAGATCCAATATTGAATCAACTGAATGAGATTGTTAATAAAGACAAAGCAAAGATAGATAGCGATGTAAGGTAAGGATGAATGGATATGGCAATATGATAACGTAGTTATTGATGAGGATGACAATATAGTTCTTCGAAGAAGGATGGTGTTTAGAAACACCTTTAAAAACAACCATTACAATGGAGCTGTTGGATGGCTTAATGGGTGGAGGTCATTGACTCGTTGGCAGCTGGGTTGTACTTGGAGACAGCGGTCATACCCTGGACGATGGCGTGTTTGGCGAGCTCACCAGTCAAGATGATACGGACGGCGACCTGGATGTCACGAGAGTGGAGAGTCATTCTCTTCTTCTTTCTGGCAAGCAGACCAGCCTCAGTGGCGATTCTCTCAAAGATATCGTAGACGAAAGAGTTCATGACGGCCATCGACTTGGCAGACATGGTGATCTTCTTCTCGGTGCCACCAGAGACAGAGTTCTGGGTCAAGGTTTTTAGGATCTTGTGGATGTAGGTCGAGAAGGAGGAGTAGTCAGACTTCTTCTTCTTCTTCTTCTTCTCTCCATCAGCAGAGGCAGTCTTGGTCTTGGCAACCTTAGGGGTGGTGGCCTTAGTCTCGGCAGCGGTCTTCTTTGCGGCGGCAGCAACTGGGGCTCCTTCGGTGTTCTTCTTGCTTGGCATTGTTATGTATGATTAAGTAAAGAGATGGGTATACAATGGTTGTTGTGAATTGGTGATAATGATTGAATCAATAACAGATTTAACCCTTAAGGGTGACTATTTAAATGTTAGCAACGAGTAAAGTTATTTTAAAAAAACATCACTTATTCTTTACAACTTGTGTGCTGAACATACAAATCTTCGGATTTTTGGATAATCCCACAAGCGCCATTTTTTAAAAGTGATCATACCAGAATTTAAATTCAAATTTTTTATAGAGCCGTTACATTTATCTTTTGAAAGTGGCTTGGTTGGACAGACTTGTTCTTATTTTGCGAAGTCCCCAATGTTAATGAATTGGGTCACTAGACATATACATACAGCATGATTACTAAATACAATTAATAATTATTGATTAATTACATTATTGTAATTAATCTCCTCCTTGTCGTCTTTAAACGACAAACATGTTAATATTACAAGTTCAATAAATTATCTATCTATCTACTAAATCTATAAGTTGTCTCTCTCTCGCCAAATACATTCTTGGACACACATACAGACAGACATACATACTCATACACACACACACAAACATTTGAATCAATTAAGGAGGGGTCGTGTGTGTGTTGCACGACTTTAGCACTACTCTACACTAATTACCCGTCGTAGCTCTAACAAACCTGATCACTCTAGTGGCAAGCACTACATCAAATAGAAATAGCTATGTACGTTGATGCTGTTGTTGCGAACAATAATAATCAACAAACTAACAATCATTCATTCATTCATTTATTCGATCGACAATATAATACTGTACAGTACAGAGCAGAGTTGGTTATCTAGACCAGGACACGTCTAGAAATGTCATCCACCTCAACGACATCAACCACTTCATCATCATCATCATCATCGACAACAACCTTATCAACCACTGCTTCAATCACTCAATCATTGTCCAAGATTGTCTCTCCTCTATCTCTATCATCGTCAGAGATCAAAGATGATCAACAAACTCAACCTACAACTCAAACTCAAACTCAACCTCAACAACCTCTGATAAAGAAGAATGGTAGCAGTCTATTACAACACAAAGTACCTCTACTGTCACTGAATACCAAGAGTAGACATCATAGTCTAAATGTCGATAGTATTGTCACTCGTGATATTGACAAGCGAAGGTCAGAAAGCAGTATATCATCTCAGTATCAACAATTATATACATCAGAGCAGCAACAACAACAGAGACCAAATGATACAGCAAGTCCCAGAGATATACCAACACCTCGGACAAGTGCTGCAATGCAACTATTGGATAATATAACCAATGACACATCACTCCCATCCAATAGGAGCGGTAGTCCAACTAATGACGTCATTGGAGATGGTAGTAGGTCTAGGAGCAGAACAAGCATTGGACGCAAGAGTGTTGGTCCAGCACTATCCTACGATGCAATGGACCTACTTGACCAGATTGTCAGCGAGTCACTCATGGCATCACCATCAACCTCCTCTGTAAAGTCAGACTCGATCACACCAGACCTCATTACGCCGCGATCAATCTCCACACCCACCTTGGCATCACCTGCGCTATCTTCAACACCGGATAGCAACAGGTCTGGCTATCAACAAATCACACCGGACCGTGTCCGCAAGCAAATGTCCTTCCCTGTGTTTGGCTCCAACAGCAGCTGTGGAAACTCACCACGCATCGGCACACCGATGCTACCTAGTCGCTCATCGATCGCAGCGCTCTCCAACAGTCCTGTCCTCGTCTCTAGACCAGTGGTGGTCAAGAACGATCAACAGACCACACAGGACATATGGAGATCGACACTTTCATCTCGGCCCAAGGAGGAGTTGATCAAGGTTTGCTTCGATGAAGTGCCTGGCAAGAAGATAACACAGCGATTCTCTATCGACATGACACCATTGGAGATCAAGACCAAGTTGCTCGAGGAGGTTGGACAGGACTACATGTCGATCGTCGATCAATTCGAACTCAAAGTGCTATCCATCAACTTGGCTTTCACCAACGAATCACTTCCACTGCGGCGTCAACTCGTCATGCAAGCGTGCAACATCACACGTCTCTTTCCCAGACTGCAACTGGCATTCAAGTGTCCTGGTGACGGCATCAAGTCAATCGATCCAGAGGCCATCGATATTAAGAGTCACGTCGAAGCCGAGCTCGAGATATTCAATCTGATTGGCAACAACCACACCCGATTCCTAGACAATAGCAAGTCAGAGGTGGTCAAGTTCCGTCGTGAGATGGCGCACTATAGACTCGTTCAACCAACGCCCACCAATCACTTGACTCAGTACATCTATGTGCTATCCGAGCCAATGCCACTGGTCATCCCACCGAGGATCACGATCCAGGTTACCTTTCCCAACTCTGTGCACATCACCAAGAAGCTACACTGCGATCCCAATCAAACAGTCACCGAGACTCTGAACGATATCTACAGAAAGTATTCAGTGTTTGAAAAGGTCAGCACAAAGGATATGTCACCAATCGACTTTGTTCTAAAGGTGACGGGCTTTAGCGAGTTCATTCTATCGGTGCCCCAGCTCGGCACAAAGACAGTGGAGGAGCATCGGATCAAACCAAGTGGCAAGGATGGTGACTTCTCAATGTTGGACTACGACTACATTCGATCGTGTATCAGCAAGCAGCAGATTGTAGAGTTGACATTCTCAAGCAGCTCCATATTGGCCAAACAAGCTGAGCCCAACATATCATTCATTGACAAACTGCTGGATACCAATGACTTTGACAGTGATGGCGAGGATGAGTTGTCGGCACCTTTTGAACCATTGGTCGAGGGGGTGATTGTTCAGTCGCCACCTCAACAATCGATTTCACCGTCGTCACAACCGCAATCAGCGCAGCAGGGCATATTTTCACAACAACAGAATACTGCTGCAGCAGCTGCTGCGAATGGACGATTCCTACCAATAACCAGGGTCAACAGGTTGTTCCGTATCAAGCTAGTCGGACTGAGGAACATCAATCTGATGCGAAACGAGGAGGCAAGGACCAAGTTTGTCGATCGTCAACTCTATGGATTTGTGATGGTCGAGCTGTACCACGGTGGTGAGCCAGTGTCAAGTCCAGTGTTCTCCAGTGCAATACCTCTGCCAAGCATGGAGACGATCAACTTTCCAGATTGGGAGCGCGACGTATGGACCCCATTCAATATCTCCATTCGATCACTGCCTCGAGCCACTCGTGCTTGTTTGACCTTCTTTGTCACGAGCGAACAACTTACAGATCCATCCGAGTCCAAGTCCATCCCCATCGGTTGGGCAAACTATCAGCTTATCAATCACAAGGGCTACCTGTGTACTGGTCCTGTTGCACTACGTCTCTGGGAGGATGGACGTGCCAATCCAATTGGTACATGCATTGACAACCTGGCTGCAAAGACACCAACAATCTTGCTCATAGAGTTTGAGACATTTGTCAAGCCGGTCGTCTTTGTACCACCCGACTATGATCAACTGTCACCACGAGCGGTGGAGTCGAGAGACGCTGCCAATCAAGTCAAGAAAACCATTCTTGAGCCGGCAGAGGCGCGAAGACTCAAGTTGTTGATGCAATCAGATGCTCTCATGGTGTTGCAGCCAGAGGACAAACGATTGATATACAATCATCGCCACCTCTACGTCAATAAGCCAAAGGCATTGGCCAAGTTCCTGTCTGGTGTCAACTGGGTGGAGATGGATCAGACACTGGAGGCCTATCGCCATCTGCAAGAGTGGGCAGCACTTCGTCCCACTCAAGCGTTGGAGCTGTTGGATGCAAAGTTTGCCGACAGTAACGTTCGCAGCTATGCAATCGCAGCACTCAATTGCTTCACCGATGCAGAGTTCTCTGACTTTCTGTTGCAGCTCACACAGGTGTTGAAGTACGAGCCCTACCACATGTCCGACCTGACCAACATTCTGATACAACGATCATTGTCCAACACGTCACGAATTGGACATCCGTTCTTTTGGTTCCTCAAGGCAGAGTTGGACACACCAGAGATAGAGGAGCGATACAGTCTCCTGTTGGAGGGCTACCTGCGAAGTTGTGGATCACATCGACAGGAGCTGATCAAGCAGGACAGTGTCATCAACATGCTTCTGACTGTGGCCAACAGTGTAAAGACAGCGCAGGGCACCAGCGAAAAGAAGAAGGTTCTTTTTGATGGTCTGTCCAAGCTCAAACTACCAGACAGATTCCAACTACCACTCGACCCAAGATGGGAGGCAAAGGGTCTGATTGTCGACAAGTGTAAATATATGGACAGCAAGAAAGTATGTATCAACAACACTCGCAGTTACAAAGAAAGACTACATTGACACTAACATCAACCGTTTACTTCTTTAGTTGCCATTATGGTTGGTGTTTGAGAATGCTGAACCATTTGCCAAACCATTGACAGTGATATTCAAAGTGGGCGATGATCTGAGACAAGATATCCTTACACTTCAAGTCATCAGGATCATGGACAAGATATGGAAGAGCTGTGGCTTGGATCTCAGATTGCAGCCGTACAAGTGTGTGGCTACTGGAAATGGTGTTGGCATGATCGAGGTGGTCTTGAATGCAAATACCATTGCCAACATCAATAAGGATGCCGGTGGCACTGGTGCACTTCTAGAGGAGAAAACTCTTGACAACTGGTTACGTGATTGCAATCCAGGAGATGCAGACTATAACAAGGCAGTGGAGACCTTTATACTTTCATGCGCTGGCTATGTTGTCGCGACCTATGTGTTGGGAATAGGAGATAGACATGCTGATAACATCATGATCACCAAAGCAGGTCACCTTTTCCGTAAGTTTATCATAGATTGGTTCTTGGTGGCGTAGCAACTAACAAATTTGGTCACTAACCATCACTAGACATTGACTTTGGACACTTCCTTGGCAATTACAAGAAGAAGTATGGCTTCAAACGAGAGAGAGCACCTTTTATATTCACACCTCAATACATGGCCATTGTCGGTGGCAAAGACAGTGACAACTTCAAGTTCTTTGTCCAGACCTGTTGTTTGGCCTACAACACTCTACGTAAACACACAGACCTATTTATTAACCTCTTCCAGCTGGTATGTAGTTATCACATCATGATCAACAACAAGGTGACAACAGTATAACTAACAATATCAACTGATCAAATATAGATGCTTAGTACTGGTATACCAGAATTAAGACATGCGGATGATATCGACTATTTAAGAAAGGCACTTGCACCAGACTCTTCAGACGTCGAGGCTGCCAAAGAGTTCACCAACAACATCCATGTCGCATTGAACACCAAGACAGTGCTGCTCAATGATATATTCCATAATTGGGCACATTAGGACATGGCGTTCAACTATCCAATACACACCTCTGGATGGTAATAAAGGTTGTTGTGGCTGGCCAGTTAGTGACCATCACCATTTGTACATACTTGCACATATATGTTATATTTTAAAATAGTTTATAGAGGCTTCCTAACACCCAAGAGCTTGGATACGACCTGGCAAATCGTAGCATTGCCACAGAGGACACGACGACCCTCCATTTGGACTGGGCCTCCACTTGGGTCAACAACGACACCACCAGCCTCTGTGATCATTAGAGAGGCAGCGGCAATATCCCATGGATGGATACCCCATTCATAGAAGCAATCCAGTCTTCCACAGGCGACACTGGCCATCTCCCAAGCTGCAGTACCAGAGAATCTTATCGATTGAACGTTCTGCATCATGATTGCCTTCAAATTGCTGGGGTATATGTGTGGTGTGTCAGACGATATATGTCCACTTTGGATGTACAATGCAACTCGATATAATCATGTGATACTTTACCTCATCATAAACTCAACACCATATTCACTGCGATCGTATCCAACATTGGTTGCCACCACTGCCTGTTGCAATGTCTCCACTGATGTAACCTGTAGCTTGTTGCCATTGAGATATGAGCCACCACCCTTGGTAGCAGTGAATATCTCATTCAATACTGGACTGTATATGCATCCAACTACAATCTCCTTGTTGATTGATAGGCCAATTGAAACACAGAACAGTGGGAATCTAGAATAGTCAATGTTAATCATCCAAACATGCAACAAACTATCCACTGATATACAAACATACCTGTGAACAAAGTTTGTAGTTCCATCAATTGGATCAATGATCCAGGTTGGCTCATTGCCCCAGTTGTAGACGCCATCCTTTGTTGACTCCTCTCCCAGGATCTTGGTGTGAGGGTACTCTGTCGTCAAAGTCTTTATAATGATCTCCTCGACATCTTGAGTGATATTGATGTTAGGTTTGATAGGAGGCATCTACCAACCAATCCTAAATGACCTACTCTTATCAGTTTCAGTGACAAGGTCTACAGCACCCTTGTACTCAACCTTTTTGTCACGGTTGTTGTAGTTCTCCAATATGAGTGGACCAACACTCTTGGCAACGTTCACTGCAGAGTTTAGGTATTGTGTATAGCTAATGTCTGTCATCCTATATTTATATATATTGTATGGTTGTAATGTTATATTTGTTTGTAAATTACAATACTAGTAATGATCAGTACCATCGATCACCCTTGTCGTTTTATCAGTTTTGCAAGAGTGGGATTCATTCAATCATTCGGGACGTGAGTGCAAGCGTTGCATCACTAGATGTGGTCCAAATTGTCAGATGATTTATTGATCAGTTGTTGTTATTGTGTATATACAGGTAATAATACATATATATAGAGAGAGGTATATATCGACAATGAAGTTTGAATCCACTGTCGGGATTTTGTTCACCAGTGGCTATCACATATGCCCGGTGTGTGTGGATAGTTGCGTTTGAATGCTGTTGTTGGATGATGATTTAGGCGTAGGTGTATTGATCGTTCTGCTGTGAGGTGGCTGGAGTCATGTCTACATCGCCACTGGTTTTTTGTGAGCTGTGATTCCTCTTCCTTGTCTCCTTCTTCTTCTTGATGATGTCATTGTAGAGTTTGTTACGATACTCAGAGATGGGGAACTTCTGACTGTCGTCGATTGGTATCTTGATGATACCCTCCACTGATGGCTCATCCGCTGGATTGTGGAACTGGGCCACGTACGGGTGTGCCAACGCCTCTTCTGCTGTGATACGTTTGTCTGGGTTGAATTGAAGGAGCTTGCGCAAGAGGTCGAGTGCCTCTGGTGATGCATGAGGATACATCTCCTGGAATGAGCGTGGGTTGGTTGGTGGCAATGACTCGAGCATCGTTGCAGCAAATGGTGAACGCACTGCTTCAATGTCCTCTGCGTTGGGACGACCAGTGACCTCAATGATCAGGTCCAACTGGTTCATCGTTGAGTTGCCAGGGAACATTGCCTTGCCACCGAGTAGCTCGCCCATAATACAGCCGATGGACCACATGTCGACACCCTTGGTGTACTTTGTCGATCCCAACAATATCTCTGGTGCTCTGTACCATCTAGTGGCGACATACTCTGTCAATACTGGGTTTGCCTCTGTAACATTCTCCAATGACAATATTGATCTTGCCAGACCAAAGTCAGCCACTTTGACCAGACACTCTGAGTTGAGCAACAAGTTACTTGGCTAAAATGTATGATGATGACGTCAGCATGTGGGATGTCCTCTAGTACAATATGGCCTACAAACATACCTTAATATCCCTATGTAGTACATTGCCAGTATGCATATATTTGATTGCCTTTAGTATTTGATAGATGGTGTATTGCTTATGAATGTCCTCCAATATGTTTGCTCTTATAACTGCATGCAGATCAGTCTCTATGTGTCAAATGAATGAATGAATGATTGAAATGAATGATTGTTAGTATTATCATACAAATCAATCAACCAACCAATCAACCAGAGTGGCTACACTATGACATACCCATATATTCAAATATAAGATATATATCTCTGTCATTGTCAGCCTTTAGTACATTGAGAAGCTTGATGATATTCTCGTGACCGTGCAGTTCCTGTAGGAACATAATCTCTCTGAATGTCCTCTGAGCGTCAGTTGCATTCTGAAAAGCGTCGAATATCTTCTTCAATGCCACTGTCTCTTTAGTCTTCTTGTCGATTGCCTTCCAAACTATTCCATATGCCTATATTGATATGATATCAAGTTATGTATGTGTGTGTCAGAATGGTCACATGATTTCATTGTTAGCCCAGATGGCAATTGAGGTAGCTACATACTCCTTTACCCAACTTTTGAGATACTTCATACTTTCTAAGTACATGCTTATCAATGTCTTCACTTGATGTCATTATATTAATATATATATATATAAAATTGAACTATTATTATTATTATTACTACTACCTATGCTACAACTACTAGTCTAAATGAGATGATTGATGGGGTTGTTGTGTTTGAATGAATGAAAGAACTCGAAGGTGGTGATTGAATCATGTGAAGGGGGGGTGCTAGTCATAGGAGACAATCCCATCCACCTCTTCTCATTCAACCCAATCGCTCAAAAAATTAATAAAATAATGTGTGCCTATTTATGTCACTTTAGAGATAATTAGAGTGAGAGATTGATGGACAGATTACTGTTGTTTGAATCAAAATTAGTTCACAGATTAGGAGCACGGTGTTTATAATTATTATTACTATTGCCAATTAGAGTTAAAGTTAAGTGCTTGGTACGATGAGTCGGTGCTGAATTGCCATTGATTGGACCAGAATCCTCACGCTCACCAATTGCGAATGGGCCAATGATATTGAACTGTGTGGGCAGTGATGTATCAAACTGCACCTTTGTTGTTGTAGTGGCTATATATATATAAAAGTATGTTAGTTTGATTGATAAAGTCAATATATATTTATGGTGCGTATACCTATCATATTTGAATCTTGTTTGATTTATTGATTTCCATATTGAAGACGTCAGACAGTCTCACTGGTGTGACTGTTTATTTTAGCAATCAAACATCAATTCAGCGTGAGTTATGGTTGTTAAGAGAATTTCTCCTCTTTGGTTGGGCGGCAGTGGGCCTCCTCATGAATTTGTGTTGTCTATCTCGTGCTCCAGATGGTTGCATATCTCGGTCACTGATTCTAGCGGCAGTGTGCTCCTCATTGTCTTGGGCCTCCTCCTCGCCATTGTGGAGCATTTCAAAAAAGACATCTTCGTTGTAGTCATCTCCGGGCTCGCAATATGGCGAGTTCTCGGTGGCCGTGCAGGTGCTTGGTAGCGAGTCCATGAAGACACCATTGCTCAGATAATCAATGAGATGGCAATGATCAAACAGAACACTCCAGTGGTAATACCAGCAGCGGTGGAGGTAATACCAGCAGAGGTGGAGGTAATACCATCACCACCATCTCAATTGGCTGCGTCCAGTTCCTCGACAAGTTCAACGAAACAATTTCCACTAGGTCTCATCAAGCAGCTTGTAGATAACAACAACAATAATAATATTAATAATAATAATAATAAGGAGAAGGACAACAACGTCAATTATAAGTGCTCATTATGCCCAACAACAACAAGGTATTCATATAACTTATATGAACATATTCGGAAAAAACACAAAGAGGAATTGGGCAAGTTGAAGATCATTCCAACAACAACAACAACATTGACCAATCTGAGAACAGAAGATGGCAAGGCTCGCGACAAGTTGTGCGATCACTTTGGATGTCACGATCTAGTGGCCAACAGCATCTGGGCCCGGCACGTCCAGAACCTCAATTACCATCACAAAGTAATCAATAACGAACAGTCATTGGCAGAGATATGCAACAGGTGCATGATTGTCAAGTTTAAGAATCGAATCAAAGCGACTGACAAGGTACACAATGCAACTGCAAGAAAGGGTATGAATTGCTAACCAAAGAACAACAACAACAACAACAACAACAACAACAACACATTTGATTAGATCATTTACTAATCAATCTCAACATCCTTCTCTTATTCAGATATACCTCTGCTCGAGATTGCCAAGTTGAAGGTACAATCCAAGATTCCAGATGACAAGTGGCTTGAGAGGATGAGACAATTGCGGCTTCACACAAGGGTCTACTCTCTGCGCAGGATAAAGTTGGCGTTGGAGCATATATCCAAGAACAAACTAGACCTCAGAACGATCCCAAATGGATACTACAATATCCTGCCGTCTACATTGAAGAGAGCACTTGAATCTGATGCGGCATACTTCAAGATGATGGACCACTCATCAATGATCGGATGCCCACCATCCTCACTCTCTTCTTGTCAATCATCTACTCCACGACAGGCAGATCAACAATCGTCTACGTCACATTTGTCCGCTACTGCTCCACCACCACCATCGATTGCTCCTCCACCAAGTCAGCAATCGTCGTCAACATTGCACACGTCTGCTGCTCCACCACCAACATCGATTGCTCCTCCACCAGTTCAGCAATCGTCGTCAACATCGCATACGTCTGTTGCTCCACTACCACTACCACCATCGACTGTAACACACAGGTCTGATGCTGTTCCAACACCAGGCAGCTCAAAGACAACCCGATTGAACTCGTCACTCACCTTATGCTCGATGGAGCCAAGAAATAAGAACAATCGAAAGCCAACAGAGATTGGAGTAGCACAGATTGTCGACCCACGAAAGTCACTGTCCAGAATCAAGTCTCCAGAAGATGGTGTGACGTTCCTCTCATACACTGGCTCAGAGACCACAGAGAAGCTTTATGAAGCACTGGCTGGGCTCCGCATCGACTTGCAGATCCTAAAGGATAACAATAACATCATGGAGATCGATGGCGTATACTACAGAGTCACTGTCCTTTACGGATTCGACCTGGTCTGTGCGAGCACAGTCACTGGAATGTGTGGCATGCATCTATCTCATTCAACCTACCGCTGCATTCTTTGTCACTGCACCAATGACACCATCAAACATGTGTCTCGACTGGACCAGTTCACACTCAGAACACTGGAGTCAATCAAACATGATGCTGATATGATCAAGGCGAAGTTGGACAAGGGCACCAAGACAATCGTTGCAAAGAACTTCCATGGGATGTGCACAATACCTCCATTGATCATCGACCCATTGCAGTTCATATTGGATTCACTGCACTCTATCATGGGCGTCGTCAAGTTCTACAAGAAAAGGGTGCTTGACTTCACAGAAGACCCTAGATTGTCTCCTGAGGTCAGAGCCACACTTGCCAGTAGTTTCATTCAGTTCCTCAAGGACTATGCCAAGCTTCACCTGTGTATCATCCTTTCATTCATTCATTCATTCATTTATTCATTCATGTGACAACTATTGACTAACAAATGGCAATACAGATTCGATCAATGTGGGAGCAGCTTGCCTTTCTCGTCAACCTTATGATCACAGACCGACCTGCGGGTCAGCCAAACGTCAAGGAGTTTCAATGGCGTTTCATGGCTGAGAAGCTTGGAACGCTAACACTCATCCACTGTGGCAACAAGCTCTCATCCTACATGCACATGTTTAAAATGCATGTAGGATACTTTCTCGAGCGATATGGAAACTTGGAAAGATACTCTTTGTTTTGTGGAGAGTTTAAACACAAGAATAACAGAGCGACCAAGAAGGCCAGGTCAAATTCATACAGATACGCAACCTCAAAGGTAGACAATCAATCATCAGAAATTGATGGACATCTGACCGGAGACATCAATCATCAGCTCATGTGCGCTGAGGCGCAACATCAGTTCTTCAACAATCAGCCATCCCTGACATACATGCTGAGTACTGGCATTTCTCATCTCAGGCAGGAGCTGAAGAGAAAGAGAGAAGAGATACCTCAGCTTTCACCGCCAGATATGGAGTCTCTCTTTGGAGTGAGTTCGTTGAACGACATTCCAGAACCCCCAGCATCCACTCAGCTCTATCCTCTAAACACTGATGTAACAGTCCTGATTACGATGAGCACAATGAAGTGATGTCGTATGTTGTCAAATTCGATCAAGGAACAGATAGTTGACTGTACAAGAGAACGTGTGTTGATTGGATGCTGGTGTCGTCTGTCTCACCGCTTTCAGCACTTCATCCATATGCAGGTCACTGCCGTGATTGATGTCAGACCAGAGGCTGACGCCGTGATTGCAACTGATTAATGAATTGAACTTATTGAAGAGGTTAATAAAAAAAAAAAGGCATCCTGATGTGATATTGAACCATTGATACATACAAACAGATAAAAACGCTGCTGTTGTTGTTATTGCTGTACATTCATTCATTTCTAACTCCAATACTTCAAAGTCGCAAAGACAGCAGTGAACTTCCAAATTAATTATGAAAAATTCCAAATAATCGAAATGCGTTACCTAACGAGGACTTAAACTAATTGTACGAATACTATTTTAATCTGATTTGTTTATTTAACTTCAACATCATCACAATAAAGATTCACCTATCAAACATAGTATCGGCACGATTCTCGCTAGATACGTTGACAAACAGAGCAGACATGACTATCTCTAACGGTAGACACCAGACGACGTATGCCGACACACAACAGGATGACTCTGTCAATTCATTCTCTCTTCCGTCACTGCCTCTGATCATCATTCGCAACATTGTGTCAAGAGCATGGAGATCACATCTCGTTAGACTAAGCTGTGAACACTACTACTACGATTGGAACCTCTCACTGGCACTTGTCTCCAAAGACATGTTCAAATTTGTCTCCACTTGCCTGTTCACAGAGGTCTACTCGACCAAAGACACATGGGTGCCATTTGACATGGGACAACACATTGCCAATCCTTTCTGTGTGATCAAGTCACCAAGCAAGCTCATCGTTGATAAACATATCTTTAAAGATCCGTGCGAGTCAAGTGGCACCGCCAGCACACAGACTTTCTTTGGAGGCATCACCAATCTCATTGTCATTGGCCGAATAGATCTCAACCAATTGGTCCTGTTTCCATCTCTGACCAACCTGAGGTTGGAGCAAAAAGGTACAAGTAGAACTTGGGATTCAAATAATGTTTGGGTGTTTCGAGAGTTGCCACAGCTCTCACTCCAGAATCTAAAGAGGTTGCGCATTAAGAGCTGCAACCCACAGGTTGTCTCCAACCTCCCAGACGGCCTTCATCTCTCTGTCGACCAAATAGGTAGTTCCAACGCCCAACACATCAATCTCAATCCAAACGTCATCTTCCAAACAAGCAATATGGAGCTAATGCCACAGATGATCTCCAAGTTGATTCTGAATTATCATGGTCCCATTCCGATTGAAACTCTCCAATCAATGCCCAAACTCAAGCATTTGGTAGTTTCTCTTGGATGGAGTATTATGCCGATCCAGGAAGCGGTGAACATCATTAATGCCTGCCCCAACTTCGAGGCATTTGCTCTGTGGTCAAGCCCGAACCCACAGTCAACGAAAATCGCAGACCTTGTCGTTGGCATACTTGAGCGAACCAGAATCGGATCCATCAAGCTGGTATTCATAATCAATCATGACTTGGAGGTATATGAATCTTTGATGGCAACACTTCCATTGACTATCCAGGTTGTTGGGATCAAGAGATCAAGACAAAAGATCCCCGTCCATTACAATCACCAAGTATTCAAGTTCTTCCTTCGATACAAACCCATCACGGAGATAGTCAAACTAAGTTAATCATTCAATCACGACAGTTCGAAAAACAAAAATGGCGGCCCTCAAACCAATATACAGGTCCTTCATAGGCTGTGAGGGACTCAGACAGAACAAAAATGGCGGTGGAGGCAGAGGTTCGTTTAATTGTGTTCTATCTATTGTTAACATATAATATTAGTTTGAATGGATAGCAATAGCCAGCCAGTGAGGTTCTTGTGTCCACATCAAACATGCAAGCATGGTGCCAGCAAGGATTGGCTTACTACAACTAGCCTGAAGAGACGACCTTTTTGGACAACCACATTAACAATGGCTCCATTTATGACACACCAGCAAGAGTGGATACACACCGACCAACGAAGAAGAGGATGGCTCCGTCCTCCACAAAGAGAACGCAGCAGGCGAATAACAAGAAGTGTCGGTTGTCAACCAAGTCCAACACACCAGAGACAACCTCCACCTGTAGATCAAAGAGCAGCGTGAGTGAACTGAAGCAGCATCAGTCAGCAACCAAAAGAAAGGCATCATTGCCATCAACGACAACAACAACAACAACAACAACAACTGCTACACAGAACGAGAAGCCCAAGACAACGACCACAACGACGACTGCTGCTGCACAGACCAAGAAGCACAAGACATCAACGACAACAACAACAACAACTGCTGCTGCTAAGACCAAGAAGCACAAGACAACAACCACATCTTCGCCATCCAACATGCCTTTCAACTTGACAACCAAACAACATCAATGATCAGAAGCATCAGCAGTCAGAGAGGATAGCTCGCAATCATCAATAAATCCAACAACCTCTGTTTATAACAACAACACAACTAGTTGATGCTGCCAACATAAGTGGGTTATAGTGTCCATATCTTCAATGTCACTGTCATTGCATCGATGTCCACACTTCTATATACTTGTTGATCGATCGATTGATTGATTGATTGATGTTGATAACATACATGTCTGAAACAGACTTGATGATTTAATTGATAGCTGGTGAACATTGTTTGATTGATCTGTCTAGGGTCCCAAGCAAGTTCTGAACAAATGATACCTGTCGATCGATCATCCGTCCTCAATGAGGTAGACCTGCGCACCAGTGTGTTCGATCCTTGACTAGTGTGGTGCTCGGCAATGACGAATCAAGATTCGTCACCTGTGTACGCTTGAAGACCATGAACTGAGCTGAGATGTCTTCATTGTCACTGCTATCGAATGATAAACCAATGATGTACATCTCATCGTCCACATGACGATGTTGATGAGTTTGAACATTGAATGATGCATACCATTACACTTGATATTACATTATAACTTGTTTAAACTCTGTATCTGTATAATGAGACACTTTAAATTGATGTGAGAATAATAGTACTGTGGAAGTCCAACCCATTTAAGGAAATATTTGGCTATTTTACATTACTAATTAAGGAGACTTGGCAGAAGTGGAGCGGTGAACACATGCTTGTAGTTTTTGCCCAAGGCTCTTGCCCATGTCTCCACTTGAGTGGCTTTGGCGACTCGTGCCTCGGGCCGGTCATCAACGTTTTGGAAACTCTCTGACAGGACGATCTTCAGTTGATCAAACATCAACTGGGTGGCCGCGTGGAACTCGATGAGTGCACTTCCACAAGTCTGATTAACTCTTCATTCTCACCCAATATCCTAGCACAGATCTCAAACTTGGGTCTTGAATCTGTGAACATCTTGTGACAATGAAGACGGTCATTTTACCCTGTTGGTTCACACATAATACTGTTTGTGTGTGCTGGGTTCAAAATGAAAAGTGAGAAAGTGAGTGTTTGGATAAACTTTGGTTTGCCATTGTGGACAGTCTTGGATCAACAGTTCTCAGCTCCGCAGTCGATATCCCTGGAATAATTGTTCTATGAACTTCTCAAGCAGCAGCTCCGAAAAAAAAGTTTTTTTTATGTTTCGAGGGGCGTGCAATGTGTCATCAGATTCAGATTCAGATGATCCTCCATCATTCTCCGTTTCGGAATCATCTGTTGTTTCATTTATATCTGTTCTCCATACTATGAGAGGATTTCAACTATTGACAATTTTGGATAGTGCTAGATTCAAACTCTGGTTTTACGAGTTTACGATAATCCTGTAAAGATTCTCAAAGAGATAAAGATGTACAATGATAAAGATGGACGGTCATTGCCTCAACTGATCATACATCGAATAGCAGCGATTGCCTGGAGATCACATCTGTTGCAACAAGATCATGTTCATAGTCATGCTTGGAATCTCTCGCTTGCTCTGGTATCAAAGGATATGTTCACATTCGTCTCCACAGAGATGTTCACAGAGATATCATTCAGAAAGAACACTATCATTCCGATCAAGCCAACGCCTCTACAACCACTACAACCACCAACACTTCAAAGTCCAACTCTCCCACAAGCTTTTATGATGGCCTTGATGGTGGTGCAACTTCCATTTGTACCGCATACCTTTCATAAACGATCGTATATCAACAATGATGCGGACGCTGACTATGGACACCTCATCAATCCTCACTGTGTCATCAAGTCTCCTCGTAACTTGGTGATCAGTGGCCATTTCTTTGACTGGTTGTGTGATCGTCATCGAAGCAGTGGAGACGAGCAGCTGCTCCAGTTATTTGGAAGAATCACCAAGCTTACTGTCCAGGGCCCAATGGACGTTAACAACCTCGTGATGCTCCCCTCGCTGACCAGTCTCAGGTTCCAGCAGGACTTCGAAGATAATATGATTTACTTCAGGCATCCGATTCCAAACACAATTCTCCAATCACTCAAGAAGCTTCAATATGACCGATGTACTCGAGATGCTGTGGCAAACCTTCCAGATGGTATACATCTCTCTATCCACTGGAGCATCGAAGATGACGACGAACAGTGCCTCAATCCAAACATCAGCTGTTATCACGTTGCTGTATTAGAGAATCCATACGTTATGCACTCGAACTTGGTCACCAGCCTGTATCTCGGTGAGGCCAGCATTGAGCCGGTGGATCCCTTTCTTGAGATGCCGAGACTGCATCGCCTGGTAGTGGAATTGGACAACCGTGTGACAGTGGATCAGGTTGTGGCACTTATAAAAGTGTGTCATCGTATTGACTCGATCAAGATTGTAGCATGGGTCATTGAAAAGGGAGTGGCCTTTGTGGAAGGCATCCTCAAACAGACAACACTCGATTCGATTACTCTCCAACTTCCAATCACTCCCCAGGATACGTTGGCATTCTATATGCACAAGATAACAACATCGCCCCAACTACAAGTGCTTCGCATCAGACGTGCAAGAGATAAGCAACCCAGGTTTGTCGGTGACAACAACCAGCACTACAAGTTCCTGCTCCGATTCAAACATCATACCAATGCCTTGGAAGAGCCACAGCACTTCAGCGATGTGAGGGTATATTTTGACCATAAAAGGCAAACATTGGTCCATAAATGACCCCAACCCCACTCTGACGTCACATACAACAAAGCTGAGCAACTTCACACATTCACAATCACTCTAAACAAACATTATTTATTATCTACACGTAGAAGACATAGTTAATAACGTCGAGTTATGTAATATAGATATGATTCAACATAAGTATACATAACACCACCAGACTGATCATTGTCACCACTCATATCAATGTTTATTAGCACTGTTCTTTGTAGTAGTTGTTGTTGTTGTTTGTGTCGCCTTACTCTGGGTGGCTGTCATCTTGCCCTTGTCTGTCGCTACTCGCTGCTTGTTATTGTTGTTGCTGGTGTTGTTGAGAAGTAGTGACAACCTTGTTGGTTTCTTTGTTTGTGTAGTAGTTGTTGTTGTCGTGGTTGTCGTACGACTCTTCTTTGTCGATGTATCTGGTATAGCAGTGCATCCCATCGCCTTTCTCTTCTTTGATGTCATTATTGGAGTGGTCTCGTCCACGTTTGTAATGTCATAGATGCCTCCAGTAGTGTGATGGTTGTCAAGGAACGATGCCAAGTAACTGTCGAGCACAGAATCAATGACATGCTCAGGCTTCTTTGACTCCAGTTTCTTGATAATGCCACGAACTTGTTGTGTACACTGCCTTCCTCGGAAGCATTTCCACCTCTTGATAACATATCCAACAAAGAAGATTGACCAAAGACCACAACTCCATACATCTTGTTGGATTGTGCCAGTGTTGGAGTACAGCACGAACCTATCATCTGTAACCGACTCGTTGTACTTGTTGGTGATGGATTGTGCAATGGACTTATGCATGTTCAAAGAGTCCAAGTGAATCAGACACCTTGCTTGTTGGTGGCCAATCAGTACAGAGTGATGACTTCCAGTGGTCATGATCACATATAGATATGCATTGTTGTTGGAGCTGGTAGTTGAGGTGCTGGTCGTGGTCGTTGTAGTGGTTGTCGTTGTTGTAGTAGTACTGCTGCTGCTGCTGGTGTTGCTGGTGTTGTTGACACCATGCTCGCTGTCTGATGTGTCAATCTCCATTTCCTCTAATAGTAGACCTTCATCGTTGTTACTATTGTGGTTGCTTGTGTTTGACATTGTTGGTAGTGGAGCAATAGAGTTCTCAAAGTGTGTAGTCGGTGGTAGCTTTGTCATCATCGATCGGATCCTGTTTGCAATATCAACAACATCAAGATTGCTTGTCATAGGTGTATGAAACAAGTCATTCCTCACAGCTAGGATGGCCAAACGCTCCTGGACACAATCCTGAACAAGGTTGTTGGAGATACCATGTCGCTTTTGAATGGATGCCTTCACTATTGTTGTGGGGATATCATGGTGTAAGTTGTTGATCATGTGTTTGGTTACTCCTTTCGAGTAGGTGTGTATATATACCTTTGGCCTTGATCTCTGGTAGGTCATCATAGGTGAATGGAGGAACATCAGAGTCTATCAAGTCACGGGCAGAGCGGCCAGTTGGCAACTTTGTGACTTCACAATCCCAAGGCGCGAAGATGCCCTTTAGATCGTTCACAGGATAGCTCTTGTTGGCATACTTGCCATCCATCACCTTGGCCGTCAGTCTTTGCTTCCCACCGACAGTATTCAAGTGTAGCGTCGATCGATAGTAGTGTTTGACTTTAGGTACGTGGAATAGACAGACAAGACCATCTCTTACTTGGCAACTATTGATTGATTGACACTCTTGAATGATGTGCTCTATGATGTTCGCTCGGAAATGCCTTTATCAATAACATAGTCATTTCCTGTCTGAAATAGATATGTCCTCCTTTGACCTTTGACACTGTGATCATTGATTGGAGTGTATGTGTTAGTGTATGTTGTCTCTCTCTACATGATGTCGGACTATAATACAAACCAGAATCGAATGTCATAGGTCACATTCTCAGGGTCATAGCCAACAACCTCACCAGGCCACCAGCTCTTATAATCGTCGCCCTCTTCGTTGGTCATTGCCGTTACCATCTGATTCAACTTGAAGGCAGTTGGGCGTGGTGGATGAGACAAGTCGTCAGGCTCCAGGCCAAATGTAGATCGGAAGGCAACGTCGGCCATGTAGTTGTTGATATGGCCCTTGATGTGTTTGTTGTAGTTGTCCTCATAGAACTTCCTCGAGTGGCTCACATAGCTGGCAAGTGCTACTCCATCCTTTCGATAGATCTCAATGAGCTTGGTCATGATCATATCCCGGGTCACCTGTTGCTTGCATATCTGTCCAGGTCGTCTCTGTTTGTTGGATGCCTTAATGGCTGTGTTGTTGGAACCATGCTTGGCTGTAAGGTTAACAATTAGTCCACAATGGTCGCAGAGCATTGAATGAATAGTGATAGTACTAACACATGGCTTACCTTCAGATGCGATGTTACACAACATCATTAAGCAGCCGTACAGCTCCATATATTCGCCAGAATGATGTATGAAGATGTGAAGATAAGAGGTCGGTTCAATGTTGTAAATATTGATTAACAATCTGCCAAACCTCTCACACAACACTCTCCATTGATAGGACTTGATGACAATGGTGTGATCGAGTAGCAAGATAACCAACTTGTATATCATCTCCCAGAGTCTAACTACATTGGCCTTTTGGTTGTTGTTGTTGTTGATGATAGTATTAGTTAATGCACTCAATCACTCACTTGGAGCCTGGCGATTGTCTTACTCTCTCAGTTTCATCTTCAATGAGATCTGTGAGTCCATCCTCCCTCCTGACCATGACTGCAAGCAATTGGAGACATTGATGAAAGGTAGGCTTGGCTTGACTGAATCGATACTGTGCAGGCATTGGTACTGATTTGCCACGTCTCGTCCAAACAGTACCCTCTGGCTTCATCTTTAGGTTGCATCGCTTGAGCAAGAAGACGCTCTCGATTGTCCTCATTGAGTTGGACAGGACATTGTCGACCTCGACCAAGGCGCCAGAGTGATTGCCCACATCCAAGGCGGTGCGCATGCTGTCGATCGACAGGGAGTGTCTCTCAATCTCATCATCGTCGACCTCATTGTCCTGGATATCTTCCTCATCACTGCTGGTCATGGAGAAATTGTCATCATCATTGTTCTCATTGTCCTGGTCAACATAATCGTCGTCATCTTCGTACTCGTCAACATAATCATCGTCCTCATCATCGTGTTCCTCGTCCAGATCCTGATGGTCAACATTGTCTAATGCCATGGACCTACTGTCCACCAGATACTTGATGAAGAGCTTGAATAACTTCTTGATCGAGCCTGGTATCATGTGCATGAGGTCTGGTATGTACTGATCAAGCTCAAAGGCAACACCATAGATTGGACGATTTGCGAATCCTTGGCGCTGTACTGCCTTCTTCTCTAGACTGCTAACTTGGCCCTCAGTCAAATCTAGATACTTTGTCTTTGACCATATCCTTGATATCTCTCTTGTAGAAGTCTATGCCAGCACCAACATATCCAACAGTCTCCTAGTTCACATGCACCTGTAGCACTTCATGCTGTTGCCACTGAATATGTCATACATCCCGAGCAACTTTACACAACAACTAAGGTCGTTGGTTGTGACGAAACGGATGTTGTATTTGTTTGCCTTCGGTCTCTGTCAGATCTGAACCAAACCTATGACATGAATGTGTAAGTGTCAGTATGATTGATTGATTGATTGATTGTACGCTGGATATMCAACAACTAACRGAACTTACAAGGTATGGCTTTGGCAGAGTGCTGAGCAATGTAGTCACTGGTGCAAGGTCATGTATAAGGTCATCTCTTGTCTCCTCATTCAGTGATATGGACAGTATAGCTTCGCCAAACGGACGCTTGACCTCGGCAGCAGTCTTACCAGAGATGGCTGATAATGTTGTCAGTTCTTGAAACTTCCTGCCACAGTCTTTCTTGGTCATCATACATCCATCAGATGTGATATTCATTATCATGATGTCATCATGGTGGCCGTCTTCAAGAATGGATGGTGGAAGCACATCCAACTTGGATAATGCGATCCATATTGACATATCCAAAGAGCCTTGCAAGACCCATCACTCCAGCTCATGTATGGCTCCAGTTCACTATCTATCTGAATGTTGTGTAGTAATGGCGCCCTCA